AAAAAAAAAAAAAAAAAAAAAAAAAAAAAAAAATATTATAGAGGTAGATATAATGCAGATGTGATAAAAAATAAAATTCTTATTTTAAATATATTTTAAATATTTAATAAAATACTTTTTATAAAATTAAATTAATATTTATAAGTTTAAGTTTAGTAAATTAGATAGTTATTGGTTCTAGAAGACAGTAATTTTACTGGTTCTATATTCTAAAAAGATAAACTAGTCTATTTCATATAAAATTGCGATCATTTAGTCTTAAGCTAATTTTAATCAAATATATAGTTAAATATAAAAATTACATGATTCTAAATAAATAGTTTAATTACTAAGTAAAAAATTTTTTACTAATTCTAGTTATCTGGTATTATAATACAAAATTTTTTGTATTATATTTACTTGTAATTCTAGCTGGCATTATAAGTTCAGTCTGAATTAACAGTCAGTGCTAAAAAGACTGAAAAATTATAATCCAAACTTTAAGACTAACAATTGAGTATATAGGACTGGTAAAACTGATGATCATCTTTATAATAAATGTAATTTTAAACTTATATTTAATAAGACTTTTAAAAATAATTAGTAAACTACTAGTATATATATACAGTATATAACAAAAAAAATTGGAATTAAAAAATTGTTTGTAATGCTATGATAATTGCACTAAATTACATATAAAATAGTTTATTTGAAAGCTAAAAACCTGTAGATTTTATCAGTAGTAAATTAAAATGGTATTTAATGTAATATTTTTTTATAATTAAACTTATAATAATAATTTTTTAGATTAAAATTTTTTATAATTAATTAAAATTAATATGTATTTCTTTATATAAAGTACAGTAGATAGTCAAAAAAATTTTTTAATTTATACATTTCTATTGGTTTTGATAACATCTGAAAAATTTTCAATAACTTTATATTCATTCTAAAATTACAAATTTCACTTTATATTTTTTCTTTTAATTTTCTCAAGAAGTAAAAAAGCATTATAATTATGAAAGATGTCAAAATGTAGCCCTGATTTTCAAATTTATTTTGCATTTTAAATGATAAAAATTGGACTTATTTTGAGTGAAATATATACATTTTTATAATTAATAATTTTTAGTTTTTTTATTATATATTGAAATTGAGGAATTTTGAAGAGTAAATTTCTTATCATTTTTCTATAAATGTTTCTATACTGCTATTTTTGGTATCAATTTTTTTAACAATATTTGAATATTTTTAATTTAAATTTAATATACAAATACTTTGTAATCTTAATTTACTTTTTTGTTATATTTTTCTGTTCAAGGTAAATATTTATAGCAAAATTTTTCAAAAAATAATGAAGTAAAAAGATAGCATAATATAAATTTTGGTCATAGGTTTATTATTCAATTTATGCAAAAAAAATCAGATTTATTTTGAGTATTTAATATGCATTTTTATTATATGAATGATATTTCAGTTTTTTTTTATTATACATTGTATATAAAGCAAATTATTATCTGTTATTATACTTTTAATTAATACTTTAATATTTAATGATATATCAATTTAACTCAAATTATCAGTAAATAATCTTAATCTTTTTCAACCAATTATATTATTTATTAATAAAATAGTTGTAGAATAAAAATGAAATAGGCTAAAAAAAAGTTGGCCAATTATTATAAGTAAAAATACTTTTCTTTTTAATTATGAAATAATTTTATTATAATAATAAATATGGTTAAAACTAAAGTTATACTATAATTATATATATTTCTATTTTTATTTAATTTTTCAAAACTATTACATTAATTTACAAATTTATATTTGAAAAAAAAAATACTGATAAAATCAAATAAAAATATGATTTATATTATACTTCAATTCTAAAGTAGTTTTTAATAAATAAATTAAATTTTTACGCAAAAATCCTTTAACTACTACTAAACTAAGCTAAAATAGCTTAGAGAAGAAATTAACCGATAATGCCCTAGAACTTGACTGGCTATTTCTTGTGATATCATCTACTCATCCTCGTTTCTTTATTCCTTTCTTTACAGAAAGTATAAACGAAAGTTAGTTTTCTTATGTTTAAATCATTCATTTATAATTCTGTTAAGAATAGTGTCAGATTCTGTTTATAAAAAAGCGCCGAGCCGAGTAATCGTAATAAATCAATGATCGGGGACCATTGTCTCAAAGGTTTATTGTAACACGAATGGCTCCTCAATCATTATTATTTTTTTTTTTTTTTACCTTATTTACACTTTTTTTTTTTATTGTACTTATTAATTTAAAGTGAAATTTTAAAGTTAGTATTGGGTAGCTCAGCGTTAAGAAAAAAAAAACGAAACAGAGAAAAATATATAATATAACTGCGCATATTTATATAAAAAAAGCAGTACAGACTAAAATTATGAGCACAACGCAAACACCACGACCGTTCTACAAATTACCAAAATCGTCGCCTGCAGAAGAAAGCCCACCAACCAACACTTCCCCCTCAGTGAATATTAATTCTAACGAAAAAATAAATAAAGAAAAATTAATACCTAAACGTTCAGCTCCACCACCACCAGAAGTAGCGCAAAAAAACGTCCAAATGAGCGCTTCCGGTTTGAATGGTTTAAACACTAGCCCTTCAGGAAAAGATAGCCAGCGTCGTGGGACTAAGAAACCGAATAGTTTAGGCCCTCCACCAAAACCTACTCGTTCACCAAATGACCCATATCAACTAGCAAGAAGTCCTTCTGCTGGTAGTGGCCAAAAGCAAAGTTTTTCGAGTGAATCTCCTACATCACCAAAGTACTCAGCAAGTGGTTATAGTTCACTTAAGGGAGCTCCCGCCATCAACGTTCATGGTGAACCCATTCAACCTAGCCCCATTGAAAAAGACGGAAATACTAAATCCCTCAAGTTTTTTGGTAATTTTCTCTCTGGTAAATATTAATTTCTTTGTTTTTCTTTCCTTCGTGTTGACTAAAATCAGTTTCTTTTAAATTAAGCTGAAAAATTTTAAATTACTCATAATTAACTTTATAGTCTAAAAAGTCTAAATAGATTATTCAAATTTAAATACTATATTTTAAATTAAAAAAAAAAAAATCTTAATTAAAATATTTTATTTATTTTTAAACAGATATTCTTGGACCAAAAAAGAGAGTAGAGATTTCGTCACCATATGATCCAGTACATTTAACTCACGTCGGGTTCAATCAAGAAACTGGAGAATTTACAGTGGGTTTTCAGATCCATTTCTTGAATATTTGTTATGAAATAATTTGATTCTAAATTTTATGAATTATCTAGGGTTTACCAAAAGAATGGCAACAATTATTACAAGAATCTGGCATTTCAAAGCAAGACCAACAAGCACATCCACAAGTATGCTTGATTATTAGTAGCTTTGTTTTAATTCAAAATTATTCAATTTATTTCTCATTATTTTATATATTTATATATTTTTTATAGGCAGTATTGGACATTGTAGCGTTTTACCAAGATACAGCAGGTGGTAAAAATCCACATGCAATTTGGGAGAAATTTAATAATGCAAAAATTGCAAATAAGACATCCCCGTCCATTACTCCTACTTCACCAAAACAGGTAGATAAACTGTTCGAGAATCCCGTGAGTGTCAAATATTTAAGATTTTTGATAGTTTTGCATAAATTAACTATATGGTGAACAAATAAAATAATATTTGGGCAGGATTATCATATAAGGATGAAATTTATTTATATTTCGTTTTCGAATTAGAGAACTGCACCTGTTCCGCCAGATACGAAGAAAAAACCACCGCCTCCGGCTGTCCCTGCAAGGCCAATGAATCCAACAGTATGTTTTAATAATATTTAACTACAGATAAGAATGCTTCTAAATTTGGAAGAAAGAGAGTTTAAAACGAAGAATATTTCGCATTGGCACTGTTTAATTATATTTTGTAATTACGTATAGGGTCAAAAAAGTTACAAACCAAAACCGAATAATTCTCCGCCAAAACCATCGCGTAGCAGTAAGTATTTTATTATATATTGATGTAATCATTTAAATTTAAAATATAATATATTTATTTAAAATATGTATTTAAAATATGTAATATTAGACACAACTGAGCCTCCAAGACTTCCGCCAATAACACCGTTACCTCCACTTGAAAGTAAGACTTTACCGCATCCCCCACCAAAACCCAAGCCACCTCGCCATAACCAGAACAATCAAGGTGGTCCAACGAGTGCTTCAGCGTCAAAACCACAATCACCATCATCCAGTCCTGGTCAAGGACCGAAGGGACCTCCACAACAACAAGGTAGCCAAAGGCGTCCTCCTCCACGTAATAAACAACCTAAAGATTCTGGAAATATAATCGATAGATTGAATGCTATTTGTAGTGAAGGAAATCCAGAACACTTTTATACTAATTTGGTCAAAATTGGTCAGGGGTATGTAAATTATTTAATTTCTTAATTATGTTATAGTTGATTCATTTATGTGATTTATGTGTACTTTTATTTATTCCTTTAGTGCTTCAGGTGGTGTATACACTGCTTACCAAAAAGGTACAAATGTATCAGTCGCTATTAAGAGAATGAACCTTGAACAACAACCAAAAAAGGATCTTATCATAAATGAAATTTTGGTAATGAGAGAATCAAAACATAAAAATATCGTAAATTTTATTGATAGTTATCTTTTTGCTGGTGAACTTTGGGTAATTATGGAATACATGGAGGGTGGTAGTTTGACAGATGTAGTAACAACTAATATTATGTCTGAGGGTCAAATTGCAAGAGTTTGTATAGAGGTAATTAGCAATTATTATTTATTTATATATTATATTTCATTTTCATTTTTTAAATTTTATTATTATTGTCTTTATAGACATTGAAAGGGTTAAATCATTTACACGAAAAAGGTGTCATTCACAGAGACATCAAGAGTGATAATGTACTATTGTCATTGCAAGGAGATATCAAATTGAGTATGTTGGGGAAACTTTAACTTTTTTGTCAATTATTTTTTTGATTTCTGGTTAATTCATATTCAAAATTTCAATTTTTCACGTTCGTAGCCGATTTTGGTTTTTGCGCACAAATCAATGAACATCACAACAAACGTACAACGATGGTTGGTACACCATATTGGATGGCCCCAGAAGTTGTAACACGCAAAGAATACGGTCCTAAGGTTGATATATGGTCATTAGGTATTATGGCTATTGAGATGATAGAAGGAGAGCCACCGTATTTAAATGAGAATCCTTTAAGAGTTTGTATTATGAAATTATTTATTTATTTTTTTTTCCTAAAAATTGTCTGATCAGTAATAAACAATTTTTATTTTTTATTTTATTTGATAGGCTTTATATTTAATTGCAACGAATGGTACACCACAATTGCAAAATCCTAGTGGTATATCACAACAGTTTAGATTATTTTTAAATGAGTGTTTAGAGGTTGATACAGAAAGGAGACCAACAGCAGCTGAACTTTATGATGAAATAGATGATGGTAATAAAACTATAGTTAAATGTCATCGTTTCTTAGAAAAAGCTGATCATCAAGGTACACTCGTACCCTTAATTAAAGCTGCACGGGATAATTCAAGGAAATAAATTCTTTTTTTTTTTAAAAAAAAATCACGTATAATGTTTTAGCGAATTGGAGTATCTGGTAACAATATTAAAAAAAAAGAAAAAAACTTGGAGTATATAGCTTCAATCAATAATTTGTCGTTTATTTGTATTTTTCATTATTTGTATTTTATTATTAGTATTTATTTATGAACATTTTATACGACTTATTTTATTTTAGTTATTTATTATTTAGGATCTCAAGGCGGGTTTAATTTTTGTTGAAAGTTTATTAAATGTTTACACATTTATTTTCAACTCCCCGTCTATTCACCACAACATATATATCAACTCCATTGAATTAATTATTATTGTCATCATAGATTTTATTTTTATGCTTGCGTGTTTCGTTTCTTGTTTTATTTGTAGATTTATTATATATATATTTATTTATTTTAAAAACTCGTTCATTTCATTTAAAAAAACCTGTGCAAAAGTCAAAACTAAAACGTGCTCAAATTTTGTAATATTACTTATTAATTTATTATATAAATATTTACATGTCATTGTAAAACTTGGATAGAATCAATGAAGATTTGACGTTACAAAGCACGCTGAAAAAGGATAATTAAACTCCCTGAATTTCAAGAACAAGGATAAAATTTATTTTGGAATTTTGATTTATAAATTTTTTTCTTGTGCAATGTAAAAATAACAAAGAATTTTTAGAATCATTGTTTTAAGTTTATATTTTGTGTCTATATTTACTAAGAATTGAATCATGTGATTGAAGTGATTAACTTGTAAGTTAAATTTTGGCCAGCATAAAAAATTTGGCCAACTTCTAATTGCACGTGTCATATATGTCGAAGTTGTAAAAGTTGCAACCTTTGTTTTAAAATTTTGGTTAGCTGGAAAATTTCCGAAGTAGTGGGTCAAGTGGGCAGTCACGCGATCTAATATTCATTTAGAGTAATTTTTCTTTTTGGAGGGTTTTATAACTTCTTGATTTAGATCTTAGTTCATTTGTCGCGATGAAAAACACTAATTACTATGAAGTTCTCGGTGTCGAAACGATCGCTTCTGAGGGTGAAATCAAAAAGGTAAAAAATTCAATAAGCTTCTATGAAAAATGTAATATCCTTTATCTAATAATGTGTACATTTTTATTTGCGTACTTATAGGCATACCGCAAGTTAGTAAGTTAAAAGAAGCAGATCTTACCGTTCTGGCTGTTTTGTTGTAAATAGAAGGATGTTGACGTAGTCTATTGTGGAGAGATTTTTATTTATTTTCTGTTGCATTCTACAAATAAAAAAAAAAAATTTTTTTTTTTGTATCCTTATTTGAATAATGAGCTATCTATTTTTTACTATCTGAAATTGCATTATTTAAACACGTGTCTTTAGCTCCGTATTTATTCGAGTGTATCACATTATTTATGTTATTATTTACTCAATGTCTTTATAGGCGATGAAATATCATCCCGACAAAAATCCTGATAATGAAGCATCAGAGAAATTTAAAGAAATTAGTCATGCATATTATGTTTTGAGTGATCCAGAGAAACGGTAATTAATCTTTGGAAATTCGGATTTTGAAAACGCGTCAATTTGCTGGCTAATCAATTCTTTTAGTGAATTATATGATCGATTTGGTGAAGAGGGATTATCTGGTGGCGGCGGTACCAATATGTCAGCTGAAGAATTATTTGCTAGTTTCTTTAGTTTTGGTGGAATGGGAGGTTAGTGTAAGCTGCTTTTGAGTCTTAATACAACATTTGAAAATTTTATCGCCAATTATGATATCCATAAATTAATGAATATACTTAGGTGGTGGACCTTCTAGACAAAGGCACGGGGAAGATATCGTTAAGCCTTTCCCTGTTACGTTGGAAGATCTTTATAATGGAAAAACTACCAAGATTTCTTTGCAAAAAGATGTTGTATGCCCTTCATGCCACGGGTATATAAAATTTTTTTTCGGGATTATTACGGTATTTAATTCGACTTGGGACTAATGCTCGATATTTTGAACATTTGTATAGAAAGGGTAGTAAATCTGGTGCCACTAGTAAATGTACCAGCTGTGAAGGCCGTGGAATAAAAGTCGCTATGCGACAAATTGGTCCAGGCATGATTCAAAGGATAAACACAGTTTGTACTTCTTGTATGTATTAATACTGTATTTCCAACTGATTTTACGAAATATTTCTATTACTAAGGCACAAATTACCTACTTTTCAAGGTGATGGTGCAGGGGAAGTAATCAAAGGAAATAAGTGCAAAAAATGTAAAGGCGCGAAGACTCTAGAAGAAAAGAAAAAATTAGATATCTTTATCGAGAAAGGTATGCAAAATAACCAGAGAATTGTTATGCAAGGTGAAGCTGATCAAGAGGTACTTATACAAAAACTGGATCAATTTTTTTGTTAAACTATTGGATAATATATATAATATATTATTATCACTTGTTTGTATTAATATAATAGCCTGGTGTTGAGACAGGAGATGTAATTCTTGTCCTTAAACAAAAGCCTCATGAAAGATTTGAGCGGCAAGATAATGATTTACTAACAGAAGTTAGTATCTCCATTACCGAAGCACTTTGCGGGTTTTCGAAGGTTCTTGTTAAACATCTAGATGGACGTGGATTGGTTATAAATCATCCTGCTGGTGAAGTGATAAAGCCTGGTGCTGTAAAATGCATAGCTGGCGAAGGTATGCCACAATATAAACGGTCGTCTGACAAAGGTAATTTGTACGTTAGGTTCAATGTAGAATTCCCACCTGACATGTGGATAACTCCGGACAAAATTAAGGTACTTTGTTTTAAATTTAGTTTGTTTTGCATTATATACTTATAATTTCATGCATTGAGATAGAAATTGGAGGCTCTCCTACCAAGCAGAAAGGCTGAGGATCCTTCAACTCATCCGGAAATCCTCGATGAAGTACACTTGACTGAAGGGAACTTTAGCGAGGTAAAATAATCAAAATTTTTTTGATTTCCCCTCTTTTTTTTTTTGTATTTTGGTCAATAAATGTTTCTCTACTGTATCAGTATGGTAACAAGAAAGCACGAAGTGGAAACGTATGGGAAGAAGATGACGACGAAGACGACGACGAAGATCATCCTTTGGGATGCACTCCACAATAAACATATTAATTGGAGTTTAATTACACGAACTTTGGGGTTTTCCTTCTATTGCAGTGTATTATGGCATTAGAGGGTAATTTTCTATCTTTATGATTATCACTCATTAGAAAATAATGTTAAATAGCAATTGAAATTTTTCTATTTTATTTGTTTCATCGCCTTTTTTTGCTCTCTCTTCTATGGTATAGAAGTTTACATTCAGGACATTAATGGCATTTTAGATTTTAATATTTTCAATATGTAATGGGCAAAAATAAATCATTAATATTTGTAATGATTTTAGAGAACTTATCAGGGGAAAAAAATGCCTTATTATTATTAATATTTACAATTTGTATGAAATTTTAAATTAAAAAAAAAAATTTTTTAGCTATTCAGAATCTTTCTTGCATAAATAGAAGTGTTATTATATATTAATTAAAAGCAGTTGTCTATTAAATAGATCGACTCGCCGTTTTTTTTATCCAATAAGGTACAAGAATGAATCACATGACTAAGTGTAATGGGGTTTATTGAAGCGTGGCGCAGCATATACTAATTTTCATGACTTTGCACCTGTACAGTACAAGTACTATACAAAAATAGGTTTGGAAAACGTTATTAATATATACTTGTCATTATCATAAAAGAAACCTCCAAAATGGAGAAATTTTGCGCTGAAATTATACGTAGAGCTACTCATCAAACGCTTGCAGCTGCAGGCTTTGAAAAGAGTTCAAGAATTAGCGGAGATGTTCTCGCTGATGTTTTTAAAGAATATTTAATGTTTTTAGGAAAATCTGTTCAAGAAGCTGCAACAAATGCTGGTAGGACTAAGGTTAATACTGCAGACGTCTTGATAGCATTTGAAGATCTTGGTATAAACCTGGAAGAGTTGAAGGAATGGACAAAAACTGAAGGAAGAGTTCTCGGAGGTTACGCTGGACGAAAACCGACTGTTTTAAAAGGTATTACATAAATTAGTAATAATTGTATTTGAGAGCATTTTTTTATAAATCATACTCATTTATTAACAGAATTATTAAGAAGTGGACTTCCTAATGAAATGGATGATATTGATTTACCAATAGTTGAAACGAAAGAAATAGATAAAATCAAACAAAATGGCCAGAATTCAAAAAAAGACGATATAGTTCAAGAAATTTACATCAAAGAACAATCACTAAAAAAATTAGTGAGTAATAAAATTGAGAACAATATAAAAGAAGCGGAAGATAATATGAGTATAGATATTGAGAGAACATTGTCACAGAATAATTCCGAAAATAATAATGATAACGAAAATGTATCCTTGTCTACGGCCGAGGATAAATCTTCATATTCTCTTTCTGGTCAGACAACACCAAAAGATGATGGGAAAATTATTAATACAAATGGTGAAATTACAAATGAACATATGGAATCAAGCAGTTCAATGCAAATTGATTCAATAGAAGAATGTTCTAAACAAACAACGGATTATCACAGTCGGTTGTTATCGCTTTCAAAAAAAAGACCTTCCTATATTCCTGAATGGCTTCCACCACTACCAGAAGTTAAATCACGCGAAGAAAATGAACCCATGATTGAAGTTAAAAAGGTTGGAGCCGAAGAAAAAACAAAGGAATTAAGTGGATTAACTGAATCGACAATAACAGAGAATGAAAAACCTTTCGATAATATGATAACTAGCCAAGAAAGTATACCAGAGATTCAAGAATCAAATAATGTAACTTCCGATTCAAATGTTCAAGTAAAGCCTTCAAAACAAAAACTTAAACGACCACTTGCATATACTATGCTTGACGAATCATTTGAGAAAGCATTCATAAGCGAATCCGTACTCGGAGAATCGACATCCGATACCCCAAGAAAAAAGCGTAAAATTGTTGAATTTGATAATTTGCTTTCATTTGAAGATCCTCTGTTTAGTGAACCCGAAATTCCTATAATGGATGATAAAAATACAAGAGATTTAGTGGAGTCTTATGGTTATCCGTTGCGGTTAAATGAAATGCCAATACAAAAACATCGATCTGTCGAGTTAGCATCAAAAATTAATGCTGATGTTAATCTGAAGATGCCTGTGCAAATTATTGATACCATATTACCAGAAGTGAAGCCTTCTAAGCCTTTACAAATAAAATCTCCGGTGTCACATAAAGGCAAGGAAAAGATGATACCGGAGATTATCGATTTCCAAGAGCCAGAACCATCTACAGAATCTCCAAAGGCACCTAAAAAGAAGGAACCAAAGAATATTAAAGCTAAAAAATCAACATACAAAGGAACAACTACAAAGTCTAGCGTTCCCGAGAAAACTTCGGAGTCTAATCGTCCTAAACTGACATTACGTATAAAATCAGCAACTACACCGTCCGATCCTGAACCATCTGAAGTTATTAATTGTATTTGTGAACCTCCAAATAATACATTAGATGATGGGAAATTTATGGTATCTTGTGATAATTGTCAAGAGTGGTTTCATGGAGTTTGTACTGGATTTGGACCTCATCGTGTTGAAGTTGGCACCTGGTTCTGTCCGAGATGTCGTGATCGTGGTATATCATGAATGAAATTTTCCCAGGATGTGTAAACTATTTTTATTATTATTATTTTTAATTTTTTTTTTTTTTTGCCTTTTTATTTGCTTTCGTGTATATTAACGACTAAAATATCAAAAGAAAAAGCAAATATTTGGAAATTTCAATTTTTTTCCGTCGAATCATGAGAACCTGTATTTTCTTGGTACTAATTAATAAATGTTAATTATTATCGTAACTTGCAAAAATTTATGACGAAGTCCTACTTAAAGTATAGATATGCAATAAATTAGTGAAATAAAAAATTTCCGTATTATGATTAGTGACTACCCCCGAAAGGTACAATGCAAATCTTCACCATATGTTTATTATAAAATTAACAGCTTGTATTTAATTACAGCCCACACTATTATACATTTTGTTTATTGAATTAAAATAATTGTACAGCAATAATTTATTTATTTTAAATAGAACTAATTAATATTTATGATAATAAATCGCCTTGCATAATATACGACATTTTCGTTTATTCTCAATTGCTAAAAACAGGATCAAATTTGAAAACAATCAACTTTTTTTTACACGACATTAGCAGTAATTCAAAATTTTGCGGGCCACAGTACCCCCCCCTATGCACAGTACCCTACAAAAAAGAACTCCCATTTTCTACCGATTTTATTATTTAAAATAATTTAATAAATACCTAGGTATTACGCATGATAAATACCCAATTATTATATAATAATAAAAACTCACGCAATGGTGGGGGTATAAGGTTAAAACCTCTGAAATCTGTATCATACCCGGCCCCCGTTATACGGTATATTATATTTGTAATTTGAAACTGTTTACGCAACTTCAGAATCAAAATGAACTTTGTATAACCAAAAAGTAATAACAACAAGGTGTTGTTGCTAATATAATAAGCAGATGTTTATCGCTGTATCGTACTTGAGAAACACCTTACTAATTACTTGAATATGAGGTGGAATGGAATGTTGTGAAAATGAATCATAGCGGTAGGGGAATAATATTTACAGTACCCCCATGTGTAAGATCCGGGAGATCCATGGTGATCTGATCACAGTATTAAATAGTGGTTTAAAATTTTAAAATTGTAAATATTTGTCTCAATTTTTTTATTTTATTTATCATTATTCGTTCGGTTATCGGTTCCAAGACGCAAAAATTACCTTTTTGATCCTCCTCGTGTTATTTTTTTGACCCGCATATACTGTATTACATATAGGAGGTCAAAAGGATAATTTTTGCGTCCAAGACCGTCACGGGTTTGATCGGTTAATTGCAAATTTTAATGTATTCTAAATGTTAAATATAGCAATATCCGTCCTTCACCAATATTAATTTACTTTGAATTTTATTATTTTTATAATACCATTAAAAATTCTAGTTTTAGTGTTTTTATTCTCATTTTTGAAATTATTGGCAAAACTTAATTTTTACGCGTTGATCACGTGATTTTCGTTTCTCTAAAAAATCACAAAGTCGGCGTTATAATTGTAAAAAAAAAATTGCGTAAATTTAAAGGATATTATTCAATAAATTTATAATTAGTTTTATCATTAGTTTATTCGACTTTGCAGTAGTTTTGCAATAGATTTGTAGTCCAGTCGGTTCGGTTTTGGTTGAAAACTACAGTTTTAAAACTGAAACCGAACCGAACCGACCGTTGGCATCCCTAGAAGCAAATAAATATAATGTGTTGGGACTCGCATTAAATGGCCTAGAATCTCTCTTTAACTGTTAATGTTATCATGCATTTCGCTTAATACAGTATAAGATTTCGCACATATCGAGCTTTATCTTTGTCACATAATATACTCAAAATGAAATCATTTTGTAAATCATATTGCAAGTTTATTTATTACTCTAAAATTTGCAATTTACTACTACGGGAATATGATCGTTAAAGAAATAAATTCTGTGGCGATCACGTGCTGGAAAATTCTTGGGCCATAGCATGCAATGATGGTTAATTCATCGCAGCCAAAATTACTTCATTTGGGTTAATGTCATAAGCGAAACTATTGGTTGGTCGATGGTGTAAAAAATTATATTCAATAAGTGAACAAACTTTTTAGCGATCGATTTCTACAACCAGATCTCGCCCTAGAACAAATCCTAGATCCCCGCTTCCACAATTGCTTTCATAACTTTAATTAAATCATCTAGTCTATCCGGTTTTTATATTCCATCTTTTTCCGTAAAAGGCTCATATATTTCCGAAATTAATAACCTTATATCACGAAATTTATCGAATTATTTACATTTTCCGTGAATTGATCTCGTGAAAGGCCCATTTTTACGGAGTTTTTACAGAAATAACGGATAAAATTTTTTATAGGTTAGACCATAACTTATCATCTTCTGCCTTGAAAACCGAAAAATTAAGTTTTTAAGTCAATTGAAATAAATGGGTTCAGTAAAGACATACTATATCGAGGTAAAATATGCTTTTCAAATTATTCTTCGGTTTCTTCCTTACTTAATCTCCAACAACATACGGAGTTTAAATGTGATACTTGCACAACTAGGCAATAAATGCGAATTAGACTTTACGTTGCTGCCAAATATGAACTTACTACTTAACATCCTGTCCAAAAGAATGGATCGGAATAGATAAGCACCGCATGAAAGTGGTGATACGTCACAAGCCAATTTAGAGAAGAATTAACATGTTTACTTCATCAATCATAAAAATGGGAGGTTTGGAAGAGAAAAGTAATTTCACATTGAAAACAACATGACTGACATTGAATTTTCCTCCTATAACTCTCTCCAAGTGACCTTTATTATTATCGAAAAGTGACTTAATATATTCTCTCTGATGCTAATCAAGGCGGTTTTTCTAGTACTAGGAGGCCCTCATTAACTCCTGTATTATAACGAGCAACACAACCGTTACTCAGTGTATTTAAAACAAAGCTACCTCGAATTTGAAGGATTTAGTTACACCAAAAACGAGAGATTTTAACATATAATCCGTGCAAAAATTACTTTAAGCTCAAAATATTATGGAAAAAGTAAAGGTGCGTAATTAAGACGTAACCCTGAGAAGAGTATTCTACTACTAATTATTCTATAATCAAAATATAGACGTAATGATATATACATAGACATAACTAAGATGTAACCCTGACTTCCGTTAATTGGTGTAGCTCTGCTTCTTTTGATGTGCCATCGGAAGTATATTGTCCAGACACAATCTGATCCTGGTTCTGAAAAGTTAAGTTTGCACCTCTAGTTCTGAGACAATGGGTCCGTGCGACATAAAGATTTCACAAAAGAACGCCTTGACGCACTGCTGACAATAATATTATTTGAGATGAAAGTTCTGTACAAGCCAATATGTTTTTTTTTTGTTCAAGTTTTCAAGGACTTTGTTAGCATCAACATAGTTTGGTGAGCCTTGTTAAGGTTAGTATAAAAGATGTATCACTGACTATCAGGTAAATTTCATATACCCGATAGCCTGACATATCTTTAATTCTTTAATAAATCAGGTCCTATATGTATTATATTGTACAGTATATAGTTGAAGCCGATATTTACACGAGAATTTATTTTATTTTGTTTTATTTTATATAATTAAATTCGGTAAATTTGAATTTTGCCATAATAAATGTGTTCTATTGCTATTTTGCTATTATTAATTTCTGTTTTCTGTTATTATTACAAATAAGCATTACATAATAATACATATACTAAAAACCACAAAATTAAAAATTAAAAGAACAAAATGTTAAAGAAAGAAATGTTAATCAAAATTTCTTTTTAATAAAAAATACATTACATAATAATCTGATTACTGTGCCGACTAAAAATAAAAAAGAAGGAACTGCGACTTAAAAGCTATTGACAAACTCTCCCCAAAAAATAACTTACCGTCTGAAAGTCTCTTCCAAAACCTACAAACTTTTATTTGCGCTGATCAAATCTTAGGTTTGTATTTAAAGGAAAAACCGGTATATTACTCATCAAAAGAATGCTAAAATTGTATACGTTAAATATCTTTGTATAACTATAAAATTATTTAAAGATTAGAATCGATGGGAGACAAATGAAACCAGACCATAGTGGGATAATGTGTTGGTGTGAATAGTAAAGACAAGTGAAAAGCTGGTGTGGAGTTTAGAAACATTGTTTTTACGGCTACGAGCTGAATCATGTAATTTATTTGTGATCTGTATCAATAAAGCGATTCTGGTAGTTGATTTCATTCATGTGTGCATCGGGTAATAAAATTTCTTGCCAAATTATGAATTAGCATTTTTTTTGCATTGCGTTTCTGCCGTAAATTTCAAACCTTAGCTGAATTACAAGAGAATCATCTTCTGACTTAATTAGGTCGAACACAATGAACTCACCTTTGCGCAGGTATCTATTAATGGTCTATTAATGATCATCGATACATTCTTCATATCGTTGGTAAACTAGCTCCAGTGACCCCGAGAGCTACCAGAGTTGAATAATACTAGACGGGTGATATTTTCACGAATGAAAATAGGGACTTTTGTGTGATATTTTGTATCACATAAATTGGACTAATTTCTGATGACATCTATTTCCAAAAATTAGCCAAATATAAATTTGATTCATCACTTATATATGAAATTTTATAAAAGCGATTTGGAGTGATTGCCAGAATTAACATAATTTCGGCCAAATTTATAAATTTATGGCGGTGTAACATTAAATATTAATGCTAAGCCACCCAAATAACGATTTTATGGAAAAAAAACAGCTTATGCAAAACTTATAAATCGGCAATCTGTCTAAAATCGGAACTATCGTGAAATTTGATGATTTCTCTTTTTAACAAATGTGCAACTTTTTTGCTTACTATATTTCTTATAAATTTCTGCATATATGTTATGAATTTTATGAGTGTTTACCAAACTTGCAAAAAATCGCAAAGTCACATCTGACGCGCATAACAATGTAAACTACTTTTTTATAATAATAAACATGCAATTTCTTTTTCTATGTTTATGATTTTACAAAATATAAATATAAACTACGTTAAATAAACTTTCACCTCGATTTTTAACATAATGATAGTGCCGATCTTAGACGGATCAGTGATTAGATAAATAGATATCAAATTATATATAGTAATCGCACAGAAAATACAATATACAAAATTCCTAAAAGTAAGAAAAACCCTAAACTAATAAAAACAAAGTATAACTAACTATTCCTGTGTGCCTCTATCTGTCATTCAAAAGAACTAATTCGATTCGGTCATATAACTCCTAATCCTAAAAAAATTTCCAAAGGAAGTTAAAACGCCGAACTATCCGAAACGCATGATTTGCCTCTGGCCACGTGATGGTTCATCCGTATATATTCTCTGAGTAGGAAAGGACGTGGAGAAAGAAGAAATAGGGATGTAAGAGTTGATGGAAGGCGACTGGGAAACCTTTGTGAAAAATAACAAAAGAATAAAAATAAAAGTATTATAAAAGAATTAATTTAACTATTTAAGCTTCTTTTAATATAAATATCTTTACAAATAAAAAGCTACAAACAAATTTTCTTTAAAAAAACCAAAAAGGAAAAATAGAAATATTTCTTTAGGAAACATTTCTTCTTCTTTTTAACTTGTATGTAGTTTTCCTAACATGGCTAGTTGTTCAGCATTCATCATCTTTCAGTTGCCTATCGTGTTAAAACTAAATACAACGAATCACGTTATTTTCTTAAGTTACAACCAAGGCATCGGCCATATCATTTAGTGCATCGCCTAGACTTTGACTAAAGCAACCTTTAGTTTCAAGGTGGTTATAAATTTAATTGCTGACTACATTAAATGGCTGTTGAGCTTTTGGAAACTTCTAGGAGTTAAATTTTGGATAATCCAATCGCAAGTGAATTTGTACGAATATTGATGTTGCAATGCTTGGAACAAACCAAAAGAATCGCAAGTTTGATCCGAGGTAAGTGAGAGATGCATTATGATGATGCGTTTAGAATAAGATTCTTTATAAGAACGTGGATTGGGGAATGATGGGTCTAATAAAGGAAAAATAGTGTACACAGGACAGGGTACATTAGTTAAATATTTGGCGCATTAAAGAATACAATATCAGTCATGTGACAATAATGCTAATAATGCGAAACTTTATTATTATGCAATATCATGGATCGTAAAGTGATCGCAAAATTACTCCGAGAAAATGTTACAAAATTTACACATGAAAATATAGAGTCTCCCCCTGTTTCACTCTTTTAACGATCATATTGATTTTTTTGAGATATTTTGTACTTTAGCATGGGTTTATATATAGATTAAACTATAATGGTCTAACTAAATCAGATTATTATAATTTAGTCTGTACTATAGAATAGAAAAAAATAACATTGTTTATTAATAAAGTGGAAACAAATTTTTGGAGGTAAATATGTTAATAAGGTTTACTATTCCCATTCAATAAATCAAAATAAGAGAGAATATATATAATATTGTTACGTCTTCTTAATATATATATATATATATATATGAAGTTTTATACAGTACATTATTCTAAGGGTTCGGCTGTTCGCCGAGTAAGAGGGTCGGTGATAATATAACACTTGTACGATGATAAATTTTCTTTAAGTATAACATGAGTAAATATTTTTAGTAAACTAAATATTGTTTTACATTATCGGGTTACCCCCTGGTTGTACTTCGTCAAGTAATGAATTTTGTTCTCTTGTTTACAATCTGGCATTTGCTATAGTTAATTTCCGAAATTAATTATAGATAATCTGATAGGAGAAGATTCTGCGAAATTTTTCTATTTTTATTTTGGGCTGGTTATGAATTCGTTATAGTTAGCATTATATTGCATTTTTAGGATATCGGTTATCAAATATATTTTCATTTTGATAATAAAGCCATTTGGTGATACATGATAATAGAACCACTTGTGGTACACAGAGATTTTCTTATATTCTTTGTTACACATTTATTTTTAGTTAGATCAAAAAAGCATAATAATAACCAAAATATGTATTTCTCATAAATCGTCAACCGTTTAACCAAACAAATTTCAGGGCTGAAAAATTTTGACTATAAATTAAATCCATGAAAAAAAAAACTCCCTTTTGAAAAAACTTCTTTTTTCCGCCCTTTTTTTTATTTTTAATACGAAGTTTTTTTTTTTAAAAAAAATAATTTATCATGGCGAAATTATCCATTACGGGGATAGTCACATTAGTTTCAATTTTATTATATGCAATAATATTAACCGCGTTAGAAATATTAGTGGTTCTTTTTCATCATAACTTCGTTGACCAATTTGAACTTGACCGTCAAGGAAAAGGTATATCCGAGGCTGATTTAATTTATCATGCAATGTAAGTTAATTATTGAAACATCAACCTAGGCTTTCCTTTTCTCTTTCAACTTAAAAAATTTTCTTTTAATAGATTCATGTTATCACTTGCTTTTCAAGTTTTATTATGTGTTGATGCATTATGGAGAAAAAATTCAATGCAGTTAATAGCTTTGGTTTTATTTAATCTTCTCTCACTTGTCTATGCTGGAGTACAACTTTATCAACATATGATATTAGAAGATGAAGGAACCGAAAACGCAAAGTTTGTGCCGAAAGATGCTAAGTTTCAAACACCAGAATCCACAAAAGCATTTTTTATAAAAAGAATGAGACCGTTAGAATATGTAATAATTGGCATAGTTACTGCTTTTTCGGGATATTTAGCAGCATTATCAATTAAATTAACGAAAGACTTTGGATGGGATGTTTATAGAACTTACTCAGCTGACGTAAAAATTCGAGATGCATTTCGGTCCCTGTCGATATTACAAACATTAATTAAATTGGATATATTTTTCATTGGATCATACGCTATACAGCTTATTCCTTCACAAAATATTGGTTATTCTAATTCTATCGCGGAAACTATATTAATTTTCTTTATTGGAACTATAATGTTATTGATGGCTTGGTATTCTATAATGCAAGAGAGCAAATATATTCTACTTTGTGTTATAAATCTGTTAACACTTTCTTTGATTTATATGGTTTATCGCATAATTAGTATTAATATACCACGTCCAGATGATCCTTATGAATTTACTAGACGTCTTTTAACATTCTTTTTGGCTACTACAATTTGTTTGGTATTATTCACAATTTTTTATGCGATCAAATGCTTTAAAAATATGATGCAAGGTAACTATGTATTCACCACTTATGGTTTACCTGGTCAAGAACAAAATGCGCCAGAAATTCAACAAAATATTCCAAATAGTTTTAATACTGAATATCTTGGTTATAGTGGTTATAGTGGTTATAGTGGTTATAGTGGTTATAGTGGTAATAATACTGGTAATAATAATAATTTAGTTCCTAATGAAACACAAAAAAAATCGAAAAGAGCTAGTAAAATTGCTGAAGTTCAAAATGCTCGGCTTTCTAGAAGAATAAGTATTGACTAGTGGCTTAGACTTTGATATAACTGTAAAAAATTAGTAATTATTAATCATATTATAATCATTTGTATAAATATTATATTGGGAAAGTTATAAATAAAAAAAATTAGTATTACACAAACACTACAAAATAAGAATCGATCGGTCAATATTCTATACTTGTTTTGACGAATTTAATAAATTTAATAACTTAAAAGACTAGTTGAAAATTCTCTTCTAAATAAAATTGGTAAGCAAAAATCTTTCATGCTTTATTAAATAAAAAGGTTGAATAAGTACTTTTATAAGACACATGTTCCAACTTGTAAAGATGCATCCGAATAGGACAGATAACTCCGATAGTAACTCCGATATCAAAAAAAAATAATATTTTTTTTTTTATGTAATGCAGGAATGCACTAATATATCACGCTCTCTTGCCTAAACCATTCTTGCATATACCATATATTATGTGTAATTTCCGTTAATGGGTATCTAAGTAATAATAACTGGTTTAAAGGATATCTTTACTATAAATACACGTTGACAAATTCCGTTCCACAATAGTTCCGCGGTATATTGAAAGGTTCCGGTTTATCAAGACTGCTTGTGTATTACTTTTATAGTATCTAGTCATCTAGTATATTCTCTATTTTCTTGTAATAAAAATACTGTCAAAGTTCAAGATGAGAAATAACAGATAAATTTCCGAATGGTAAGCGACAGATGGGATCTCTTAAAGTTTTATTAAATATTCTTTAAAAAATTATAGTTTTTTACCTATCATTTCCTTAGATTGTGATTTCTTATGTTAAACAGAGGTATGAAACGAATTTGGTCCCATATGTTTTTTATAATTTTATATATGTAACTTCACTCTTCAGCCTGTAGGATCAAAGTGTTAATTTACTTATTTTTATGAAAGAATAAATTTTCAACTAAAAAATATTTGGAATATTGATGGATGGGTCACAAATAGACATGATAATATCCATACCCTGTGACCTGAAGGGTAGGAAATGTCTTTTTTTCTCTAAATCCTGCAGAATACAATCAATCAAAGATCAGGAATATAAATTTATCTTCATAAATTAAATAATTTAAATAATTGTACATATATACACATAGTACGTATATATAGAATATTTTTTCTTATAATGTTATAATAAATGAAAAAACTAACAGTAAAAGTTACAGCGTATTATATAAAATATAAAATTAATCCATTAGGTTAGTAGTAACTTACTCGTTCTTATTTACACATTAATTATATACATGCATGGCGTGAATAATCAACTCTTAACAAAAATATGCCAAACGGGAAGAAATAAGCTTAAAAGTTTTTAGCCGAACCTGTAATGATAGAAAAAATGCGGAAAAAGAAATTAGAAAGATATTTATTTATTTATATTGATTCTTGACACTCGCACCTGGCATATCTTCTTCATGATATACCACATACCATTTCGGAACGATGAGGAAGAACCGGTTAATGAAGGACAGTTCTTACCGAGATAATGCAATCAATGATGTTAATTAGCTAAATTGTTTAATAATATATTAAATTCAACTAAACGTACTTGTCCAAAGTGATTTCCTGCACAATTATAACAATAAGATCTAATGTTTCTTGTAGGTTCTTTTGCTTCTTGTTTATTGTATAACCTCCAAGTTGACTGTAATAAAATAAATATACACATATATTTATATAACAAAAATAACAAATTACTTACTTCGTCATTATCGGGAGAACGTATTTCCTCGCAGGTGCGTTCATCGTGGTTATACCCTTTACAGAGTGAGCAGCGTTGTCCACCACGTTGTTGTCCATTACTGTATGATGGATAATCATCTTCGTCATAAGTTATTCTTTTTCGTTTATGAAGTATTTCATCACTCTCTAAATGCTTCGAGCCTTTTTGTGAAGATCTTGATCGATTATTCTCTGATACATCATTAGTTCCGGCAATCTTATTTGGAATAATTGTATCGCCTACTTTATCAGACTTAGTGACTTCATGCTTAGGTACTATATCCTGGTTATTTGAAACATTGGGTTCCGAGTTATCCACCGCATAATATATTCGTGCTAAGGCATTTGTCAACTCGGTTTCACTGCATTTTAAAGAATAGTAGCTTATAGTTTGAGCCATTTAATTCTAAGTGTAAAGTTGGCGGTTTAATACCTTTCCGATGTATCTTCATTAACTTGATAAATTTCGTTCTCATATTGGAGAACTTGTTCGTAGTCAAAATCGTCATCCATCGGGAAGAATAAAGTCAACACAATTTTATGGCGTTTTTCTAGAAGTCACTTCAGAAAAAGATATAAGGTATATGATTTTTATTTACAATAAAAGTGGTATGAAAGTTTGGATTTGCTGCCGACTTATTGTCTAACAAAAAAATTGTAGTGTTCTATTTGATCTAAGTGTAGCGTTACTCATGTTACACAGTGTTATTGGTACTGCTGATAGACTGTCGATACACGTAAAACGAAATGGTTCTTTTTTTTATAGAAGTTAGGGGTTAAATATTGTAAAGGCGCTTGAATTTTCTTTTTAATTTAAGAATAATTTTAATAATTTTATCGTAGTAATAAGGATACTGATAATGACCGAGAAAAAGGTGATAATTGCTTTAATTTACTCGGTAATATGATAAGGTTTTAAATGTTGTTACATTATATCATTTTCGTATACAGAAAGATAAAGTGCTTCATTCTCTGATAGCTGGTTTAGTTGCCGGTGGAGTAGAAGCAACGATTACAGTACGTAATTTAAGTATAGCTACGAAATTATTATTGTTGTAATAATTATAATCATAATAATCAATTAATATAGTATCCAACAGAATATGTAAAGACTCAATTACAATTAGATGGAACAAGCGGAACTAAGGTAATTATCATAGATGTGAAGTAAATAATCATGTTTTGATAAATTATTTTCTTTTCTTAAATTTGCAAACATCTTAGAGATTTAAAGGTCCAATTGATTGTGCAGTAAAGACGGTACAAGAAAAAGGAATCCCTGGTTTATATAAAGGATTATCTGCGTTAGTTATAGGAACAGCAGCAAAAGCGGGGGTCCGTTTTTTAACTTATGATCAACTCAAAGTACTGTTACAAGATGAAAACGGCAATGTTTCTGGACCTAGATCAATGCTTGGTAATATAAATAGTTCTTTGGATCGTTATGATACGTTGTAAATTCGCGTGATTAATAATTATTATTAATTAGCTGGGCTTGGTGCCGGAATGGTTGAAGCTATCACTGTAGTAACTCCCACCGAAACGATAAAGTATTTAGTTTCCTTAGTTTTAATTTTTTTTATTTTACAAAATTTTATAAATAAATTTTTTGTTAATAGAACGAAAATAATTCACGATCAAACTCGAGCAAAACCTCAATATAATGGACTTGTACATGGCGTAACCAAGATTATAGCAAATGAAGGTTTAGGAGGAATTTATCGCGGATTATTTCCTGTTATGATGCGTCAAGGGGCAAATCAAGCAGTGCGTTTTTCAACTTATTCTACACTTAAACAAGAATTTCAAAAATATTCAGGACCACCAGGACAACCTTTACCTGCTCTAGTGACATTTGGCATAGGTGCAATAGCTGGCACAGTAACCGTTTATGCTACTATGCCATTAGATGTAATAAAAACCAAGATGCAAGGTTTAAAAGCAAAAGAATTATACCGAAATAGTTTTCATTGTGGTTGGAAAATTTTAAAAGAAGAAGGTTTATTAGCTTTTTGGAAAGGAGCAACTCCTAGATTAAGCAGATTATTGGTAAGTCGTATATAATAATACGTAATTGATTATTTATTAAACATAATTTAATTGATTTAAATAATAGTTTTCAGGAGGTATTATCTTTACAGTCTATGAACAAGTGATGACAGGTTTAAGAAAAATAGAAGAATTGAAGTATTAGAATAGAATGATCTTATAATTATTAATAAAACTTTTAAATTTAAAAATTTCGCGTTTATAATTGCATTCAACATTTAATTAATCTATAATTACATCCCATTCTCAATATAAATAATATTTACTTTTGTTGAAAGTGGTAAAAAAAAAAAATTCTAGTAGCAACTTTTAAATTAAAAAAATGAAGTGATTTAAAAAGTGAATTGATCAGGAATTAAAGAAGGAATTAGGTATAGCTAAATTAAAAAATGATATTGCATGGCGCAAACAATAAAATAACCTAAAAAAAAATAATTTAAAATAAAAATCCAATAACATAAAATTATCATTTTAAGTTACAAGAATGAAAACCAAGAAAAAGAATATTATAACTGCAAATATTTTAACCATTAGCCATCGATTTGAAGAAATACTAGCATAATATTTTAATAGTTCCTTTTGTGCTCCCTCTACATGAGTTTGTATGTCATCTGTGTTGGCATCAATTCTATTAAAAAAATTCGAGTGATTTAAAATTAATGAGATTTTAATTTCTTTTAAGACAAATAGAACATTCACTTTACCTTTGAACAGTTTCCCGCTGTTCTGCGACCATTGTTGCCAATTGTTGAAAAATATTACCAAGCTCAGCTATTGTTGATTCAATAGATTCAATCGCTGTTGCACGACTTTCAATATAATTATCCTTTTTGAAGGAATAAAATAATTTTAATAAAAACTCAAATTGAATTTACATCACAATTTGAAAAAAGTTTTTACCTGTTGATCAATAAATTGTAATTGCTGAGCTTGTCCTGAAGACATATCAAGAGCAAGAAAATCTGTATTCTGTTGAACATTACGTCTTTGCGTATTATATAATGGTGAATCAGTTGCAGGTATATCAGTTTGTTGATTAGAAGAAAACATGAATTGTTCCTTCCTATCCTTACTCGCTTTCATATTCTAAATAATATTAAAGAGAAATTACTATTTATATTTATATATTGTACGTTAAAATTTACGCTCAAAATAATACCTGAGTTCGAATTTCCAAAACATCCTTAAAACTCATACTAGTACTAGCTAGTTTTGATTGTAACATAACTACAACATTAGAAGAATGTTCATCGGCCTGTTTATTATTTTTTTTATGATCCCGAACATATTGTTGGAGTAGGGCTATTTGCTTATTTAATTTTGCAATGTCCTGCTTAATTATATAAGTCAATTCCTATATATATAAAGATTAATTATTAGATTAATTAAATTTAGAACTAATTATTTGGCTAAATATTAAAATAAACCTACGCTAATTTCAACAGGCCGATCGTCAAAAAGTGTCTTTCGCTTAGCCACTAAATAACACATATATAAAATTATTAATATTGATTAATTGATACCAAGATAGTGATTAATTACTTACATTTCGTCAATTTTTGTAATTTAGCCGCTGTAATGTTTATATCCTTTCCTATCGCCGCCGCCATCTTTGCAAACTCACTTTTATTGACACCTGTACTACCGTTTACTAGTTTACTACTATTATTACTATTTAGCAATGGTCTTCGATGTTCTAAATTATGTCTTGCTTGAAAGCCTCCATGACCATTCGAGGACCTTGTACGGATTGACTCCACTGCGGCGTAAAATTCGGACGTTCTATCTTTAACTGACATTTTATTATTTTAACTTGACGGAAAGGCTGAGAGAATTATAAAATTTTGACTTTAATAACTCAGATCTAGAGCTTGAAAGTAGTAAGGATAAGTATATAAACTAGCTTTTTATCAAAAAAAGAAAGTGATTGTTATTTCTAAACCCGCCACGCCGCTGAATACAAGTATTCGGTGAAATATTTTGCGCTTTAAATAATTGTACGTGTTACCAAATTATTGGGATCATCCCCTTGCATAATACGTTTATATTCTTGCATTTTATTATTTTCATGTTTATAAAGCAGAAAAGTAAAATTTTGATTTTATTTTTAGACACAGAACGATCTAAAACTTACAGCAATGGGTAAACGTAAAACCAAAAGAAAGCCAAAACCAAAGAAGAAATTAGTGCTTGATACTCACTTTGACTGTATCGCCTGTCACCATGAGAAAAGTGTCGACGTTAAAATGTAAGATGCAAATAAATTTCTTTTACCGTTAACGTTCGAAACAGCTTATATAAATAGCTAAAGGGTTTTTAAATTGTAATTAGGCAACGTGATGCAAAAGTTGGTAACTTAAATTGTAGAATATGTGGTATTAAATTTCAATCAACTATAAATCGTAAGATTTTTTTTCTTTTTTAAAAACATTCTCTCATTATATTGTAAGAAGAGAAATAATAGAATTTCTTTTTCAGCTTTAAGTGACCCTGTTGATGTATATTATGAATGGGTTGATGCTTCACAAACAACCAAGCCTGAAGACTCTCGTGGTTTGTCAGACGATGAATTAGATTATCATGACAAGGATTTAAGAAATATTAGTGATGGCGAAGATGATAATAGACTAAGAGATAGAGGAAGAACCTCAGATTTTGGAGAGGATGATGAGGATTATGATTAAAAAGATTTTATCATTTAGTCATTAGCAAAAAAAAATTAAATTTATTTGATTTATTTGGTGGTACAGCAATATTATTATTATTTTTTTCATGGCTTGAGGTGATATCTCTCTTTTCGGACGGAAATCTTGTAAAATAAATTAAATTTTGAGATTTGTATAAGATTATATTATCTTTCAATTTATTAAAGAATTTGTTTACCATGTAAAAAGTTATCAAAGTACATTAAGAATATTGTAAAAATGGATATCGAATATTGATAATCAACTTAATTAGAAATGAGGCGAATTTCGATCACATGATCATGAAAATCCAATAAACAAAAACAAATGTATTAGAAAATGATCGTCATTCTCCACTGTATTACAACTTTCACACAGATCGTTTGTGGATAATGGATAATCAAAATCGTACGACTCTACTATCTTTTTATCATCTTTTATCAGCTTTTTTGATAAACAAAAATTTTCGAATTTTACCAGTTTAGATCAACTAGATAAAATGCGAAAAAACACATATATACATGTATTCATTTTTTTATTCAAAAAAAAATTTTTTTTTTTTAATATTCTTTTCATTCTCGAATATACTTTATTTGCTGGTAAAAAAATTTTTTTTACGCGTTTTTTTACGTGTCTTTTTACGTGTCTTTCTCATTAAAATTTTCAACTTTATGTACTTATATTTTTTTTTTTACATTTTACTCTTTTCAAAAAGGTCAAAATTGAAATAATTTATCATAAATCATTTTGAATTCAGTACATACTAAAAGATTATAAACCAAATGAATTCATTAAAATTTACCACATATTCACATTCGTTATATTATTCAAATCGTTCAAGTAATATACTTAAAAATCAAAATACTTCGATAATACGTTCATTTTTTACCTTAATAAATACTCATAGAATATTTTTGAATAATAATAAATCCATTTTTCTTTCTTCTCATTCAAACACTATTAATCATAAAAGATATTTTACTAATTTTTTTTTATCAAAATTTTGGACAAAAAAAACACTTAAACCTGTTCCCTCAAACCTACAGAAATTTTTTGATACATCGACATCATCAAATCTATCCATAACTGCTTTACCAGCAAATCCAACTCCAACTCCAGAACCAACAATAAAACCTATACCTATTTATACACGACTAACTTCTGTATTTCCTATTCCTAGTAAACATAATAAGTTTATACTATCTCCTGGTGGATCTGGTTTACCAAAAAACTCTGAAAAGTTAATTTCCACGAATAATGATGAAAAATATCATAGTGTGGGTTGTGGAGAAGATAGTTTTTTTTTAAGATATGATTCTTTAGGTGTAGCTGATGGAGTTGGTGGTTGGCGTAATGTTTCTTCCTTACGTAATACTGGTAATTTAATAATTTGGTTCTGAATGAAAAAGTCATGTATCCATACAATTTCTTTGATATTTTTAATAATGAATTTTTTTTCTTTTTGGTTTCTCGTATTACTATAATAGTTGCGAATTCAGCTTTATATGCTCGTAAATTGATGCACTATTCGTATGCAGAACTTGAAAAGTATGACAATGTTGAAGATGAGAAGAAATATAATGATGTTAATCCTGTTGATATATTACAAGCAAGCTATAAAAAAACTATTAGCGAATTAGAATTAGAGGTAAGTTTCTAAATGACTTTCTGTATTGAAAATTTTGTAATTAAAATATTTTTTTTATCATTAAGAGAGTTATTGGATCATCAACCGCATTAATTGCAATATTACGAGATGATGAATTAAGAATAGCGAATGTAGGAGATTGTGGTATAGGTGTAATACGTTATAATGAATTTATATTTCGTAATGAGGAACAACAACATTCCTTCAATTATCCCTACCAATTAGGTACAGGCTCAATTATTACACCTAAAGATTCACAACAATTCACAGTTAAAATTCAACTAGGAGATATTATAATTCTGGGTAGTGATGGTATATTTGATAACTTATTTGAGAATGATATAATTGATGAAATTAAGGATAAGGAACTTGATCCTCAAATGATAAGTGATGCTTTGGCTTGGAAAGCAAAACAAGCGAGTGTGGAAGATATTTCTTCTCCGTTTCAATATCGTGCTCATCAAGAAGGTTTACCTTATCAAGGTGGTAAAAGAGATGATATTAGTGTTCTGGTTGCTATAGTAACCGATAATAATTTGGATAGGTTAAATTGCTAATTTATATTATATATGTGCAACACCCATATAAGTTTAAAAAATTATGCTAAGCAAAGAATACCATCAAAAATTTATTATCATTATTAAATACTTGAAATATGTGAAGATTAACGGACTATATAAGCATTTCTTTTTCATAAAATCAAATTTTATTATCATAGAATTGAAATTTATGTAATATATATAACATTGTAATATTATCAGAAATGATTTTTTTTTACAAGTTAATAAATACTCAAAAGTGAAAACTCCATAAATGTAATCTTATAATCTTTCTAATAATTATATTTAGACTTTTTAAATAAACATAAATTATGAATCCCAACGTCTTTTACGTTGTTGATCTCTACTAGAAGATTTTGAAGTCGATGAGGAACCTGTATTGCTAGAACGCAGTAATCCCAATTCGGATTCGGCTGATGAAGCTTTTTGAAAATTCATTTGAAATTTCGATTGGAAACCACCCATATTATTACTACGATCAGATTTACTACTGGCACTAAGTTGTGGTGGTGGAGGTATTTGTGCACCTCCTCCAGCTCTTCCACTTCCTAATGGAATGGCATTCGAACTAGATCCCGATCCCCGACCTAGATAAAATAAATAATTCATAATTGTATTTAATAATTGACAGATATAAATTAATTGACACCGACCTCCACGACCTCGACCTCTGCCACGGCCACTTCTTCCACTCCTGCCACGTCCTCCTCGAATCATTTGCCTTGACTTTCTGAACCTTGCATTCTATCATTAATGTAAACCATATTAGCATAACAATATTCATCTGCAGGACCAGGACCAAAATTACTTACCTGCATTGCCAAATCCATTAAGGAACTTGGAACAACTTGCCCAGAAGATTCCAAATTTCTTACTAAATCACCTGCAAATTTATCTTCTTTTTGAGTAATGAGCGTATAAGCTGTACCCTTTTCACCTAGAAAATTATTTAATAGTACTGACTAAGTATCTCAGTTACAGCTGCTTTATTAGTTATTCATTTTTCACCATACCAGCTCTACCAGTTCTACCAATACGATGCACGTGAGAATCAATATCCCTCGCAATATCATAATTTACTACAGTCTTGACAGCCTTTATATCAAGACCTCTAGCTAAATAGTTAAAATAATTAATTTAAGATAACTCGAACAATATTTAATTTAAATACATAATTACATACCAGCTACGTCCGTAGCAACCATAATGGGAAATTTATTATTCTTGAAATCCCTCAATACTTTATCACGTTCAGCTTGCATCATATCGCCATGCAACGCACCACCTAGTTTAAATAATATTAATCAAAATCTTTCATAAGAGTTATAAAAGAACATAAAAAAAATATCCACTTACAATCAAAACCTGATTGTTGCAAATTTAAAGATAATTCGTCAACACCACCTTTTCTACTAACGAAAATAAGTACACTTCCCTCTTTTATCCAACAAAACAAAAAAAAATTAGAATCTCTCCGAAATAATATAATAAAGAAAAATTTTGCGGTTAAAGAAAACTTTCAAACAAAATAAAATTGATACTTTACCAACGCAAAATGAAGCCAAACGTGAGATTAACCAATCCCATTTATATCCGTCCTCAGTTAAAATTTCAATTACTTGCGTTATATCGGTATTTGCCTTAAAGATAATGATTAAACTTAATAAATACTATTTACTTTAAATGATAACAGAAAAATTAATTTCTAAAAAAAAAAATAATTTTTTAAGCGTACTTGCCCAACGTATCCAATCGAAATTCTCACAGGTTCTGTTGTCACTTCTCGAGCAAGAGCCTCTACTTTTTTAGGAAATGTTGCACTAAATAGCAATGCTAAATAATTTATAAGACATTTAAATCAAATTTTAGATTTTTTTTTATAAAAAATGCAACTAATAACTAATATTAATTTATTACTTTGCCTGTCTGGTCTGATATTATCACATATTGACCGTACCTGAGGCTCTAATGAACAATAGACTTAGTAAGCAAGTGTTCTCGAAAACAAGAAAGAATATACGGGAAAAATGCTCACCAAATCCTAAATCGAACATACGGTCAGCTTCATCAAGAACCAAAAAACTAACGCGTCGAAAATTTGTCGCTTTCATTTTTACCATATCGATAAGTCGCCCCTATTTCAAAATGAAAATTAAACATTTTTTTTATATAAAAACAAAATTTTATAACTTATTATAACTTACAGGAGTACCAACTAAAATTTCAACTCCGCCTGGTCTCAGTTCTTTGAATTGGTCCATTTTCGAAGCACCTCCATAAACTGCTGCAACTCTACATTGTGTAAATCAAGGATTTGGAAAGCAGAGAGTAGTATGTGCGTCGCTTATGATTCCATTTCTACCAATTATGAGATAAAATTTCATAGCGTTTAATTTCTACCTCAGACCATAAGCCTTTGCAAACTTTTTAGCTTCAGTAAATATCTGACTAGCAAGTTCTCTGGTGGGTGCTAATATCAACCCGATGGGACCTTCACCTAAATAACGTCATTTTTAGAAACAGAATAAATTATATATATATATATATATATATAATATTTGTATATTAAATATGATAACAATAATTTACCTTTAGATAATTCTTCTTGATCCATTATGTGTATTAACATTGGCCATATAAAAGCCGCAGTTTTACCGGAGCCTGTTTAAAGCTTATCAGTAGACTAAACTTATGAATTATTAAATGAAAACTGTAATTATTGTAGAACCTGTTTTCGCGATGCCTATAATATCTCGACCTGATAGTGCGATAGGAACCGCCTAAAACAGACATATGTGAGAAATGACAAATGTGATATATTTAATAGAACGATGAAGTACTTGTTTTTGAATTCCAGTAGGTTCTGAATATCCGTGCTTAATGATAACATCTAATAAGGCCTCATCAAATCCAAAATGAGCGAATGAAATACAAGGCTTTGTAACATCAGCACCTGATACGTGCATATCTATGTTGAATTATATTCAATAATTAGGTCTTTTTTTTTTTATAAAAAAAAAGAAAATACAATATATATATATATATATATATATATGTAAATTACCAAGTTCTTTTCGAATTTGATCAACACGTTCTTTAGACAAATTTGCGATATCAGTATGTTCTTCATAGAAGAATTTTTCAATTTCGGGATAATCAATCTGAGAATGATCTACGAATAAAAAAATTAACAAATAGCATAGTCACGCAATTAATATAAAAAAAAAGAAAATACAAGAATTGTCAATTTACCAACAGCTTGGAGAGGTTCTATGTCTTTCCGCTTTTGTTCTATGACTGGATTGTCATCAGAATCATATCTGAAAATAGAAAGATGATCAATAGTAATTAAACTAAGAGATCGAACATCAAAATTCTATTTGAAACTTACTCAAGTTGTGCGTCAATAGCTCGAGCGGTAGCATAAACCTCTTCGTCTGAATTAACATTCTAAATAAATTAAACCTATGTCAGTAAATAGTTTAACGCGTCAAAGCAAGGCGTATTTTTTTGAAATAAAACCGTACCTCATCTTTCTCGATTGGACGTTGACTTTTTCCAACTTCAATACCTTTCTTTTTCATATGATTAACATAACTTTCTACAAAATCTTCATCTTCAATATCGTCACGTCTAATCTGCATTAGAGTTACACAAATGGTAATCAAATTTTTAAATTTTCGACCTTTTTTTTTTAAGAAAAAAGTGAAGATATATATACTTTTTCTTGTTGAGGTTTATTGAGACTTTCTTTTTGAACTTGATTATCGATGTCCAACATGAAAGCGTCCAATGGATCATCATCATCCTCCTCCATCACCTTCGATTTGATCTCAGGTTGAATGGTTCGATTTCTTTGAATTTCTTTATCAGTACTATACCCCTGGGGCACGAAACCTTGAATTCCTATCATAAATAATATTAATACAAATTCTTAGAGAATTAGATCATTATATGAAAAATTATATATCAAACCTGTTGAGGTTCGAGGAGGTGGTGGTCTATCGTCCTCCAGGTTACCAACATAATCCTCGTTCAGATTAAAAGTATCTGATTTGTTACTTGAAACAGACTTTTTTTCTAAATTATCATCAAGCTTAATCAGCTTTCTCTTTTTGGGCTGGGTTTCTTCATCAGAAAAGTAATCGAGTGAAGGAGGTTTTTGTCGTTGTTGCTCATCAGAATCAAGAATTGATTTAGACCTATTTGCAGAACCAGAATGCGAGAATCCAAATCCAAACGGCTTTGTATGCTTTTTTGAATTCATTATTGGAGATCTTAAAATAAAAAAGCACTTTTTATGTTTCTCGAGATATTCAACTTAAAGCTTGATGACTCAGCATGTTACACTTGTATCCATAAATATAAATAGATAATTTATCACCCCGCGTGATAGATTTGTATCATGTAGGTCTGCAGGTCACCCTTTTTTTTTGTGGGGGATATTCACAAGACGGGATATATTCAATTTTAGTCTAAAAGTTTAATAACAAAAAATTCGGATTTTTTTTTCTTTACATACACGCACAGAAACAAGATCTATGATGCATGTTTTTTTATTTTATAACACATTGATACAACAAAAGATAAAGAATATAATTCCCAAGAAACAGTCTATGTTTAAAGGGGTAAAAAAAATAAAGCAAAGTATAATTTTATACGAGAAGTAAAAAAAAAATTACTAAAATAAGCTTATGCGAATTAATTGTAAAAAATTACTATAAAGAGTAAAATGACACGAATATATCAAGAAATCATGAGCATCCAAATATCAGGGTTTATAAATTTAAGAGCGTTCACCACGAAGACGACGGGCCAATTGAATATCCTTAGGTTGAATAGTAACGCGTTTAGCTGTAAAATAATAATCAAAATTAATATAATTACTTTATTAATTGTCAGAAATTTCTGCGCCTCACATACCATGAATAGCTGCAAGATTTGTATCTTCAAAAAGACTAGTGAAGTGTATAAAAAATTAAATTAAAATAATAAATAATAATGATTACTATCATATAAAAATTAAGAAAGCCAAATTACCTCACTAAGTATGCTTCTGCAGCCTATTATATTAAAAAAAAAAGTTAATAATTAATACAATAACATGCGCAGTATCTCTAATGAATAAATAAACATACTTCTTGAAGAGCACCAATAGCGCTAGATTGGAAGCGTAAGTCCGTTTTAAAATCTTGTGCAATTTCACGAACAAGACGTTGGAAAGGTAACTTGCGGATCAAAAGTTCAGTAGACTTTTGATAACGTCTGATTTCACGCAGAGCTACAGTACCAGGTCTGTAACGGTGAGGTTTTTTGACTCCTCCTGTAGCTGGTGCAGATTTACGAGCAGCTTTCGTAGCGAGTTGTTTCCTAGGAGCTTTTCCTCCGGTACTTTTACGAGCAGTTTGCTATGAAAAGGTCATTTTTAAAAAGTTGGATGAACTTACTGGCCTCGCTGGAATTCCACAAAAAGAAAAGCAAGAGAAATAAAATAAGTTTATACCTTAGTACGAGCCATATTTTATAGGTTAGCGTGTTATTAATGAGTTGGTTATTTTATAGTTTTGTAATATAAAAGTATTGGAAAATTTTCTTTGAAAAGTATTTTTTTATACTTAATGATGGGAAAAAAATTCAGAGACCACCAAAAAATGGCTGGAAAAAGGAAAAATAGGGATATATGTGAGAAAGTGAGCAGATGACGTAAATGACGTCGGATATCGGAGTCAGTTGTCAATTACCACACTATAAATATTTTTATTATTATTATAAATAATAAATACTTCATAAACTTTTCCAATTAGATAAGCAAGCCCGACTTTTGTCATGTGATAAATAGAGTGACGCGAAGTGACAAATTGCTTATATTATCACATGATTATTACGTGTAACTATTAGGTGACATGAGAAGTTGAACAAACCATAATTTAATTTGATTTGGAAATAGGCCACCTACATAAGTTTATTTATTAGGCATCAAATTTCAAATTTTTAAATATAAAAATGCCGACTGAATACCAACTTCTTTCTCTAAATGAAACTAATTCAAATCATTCTGATGAAGGTTCTAACATAATACCCATGGTTACAAGAGGCGCATTCGCAATGCCTAGAAGTTCTATAAGTCTTCAGGAACTTAGAGCTCCGATTCCATGGTATTTAGACTCTTGCAAATTGACCAAAGTGTGGACTACATTTAGTTATTCTGAGTATTATAAAACATCTATCCTCAACATTATTAATTCTTTTTTTGTTTATTGAATATATAGATTGTGATTTTTATTGTTATATCATCCTGGGTAATATTAGTTATTTGGCAAGTATTACGGTTGGGAATTTCGCAGTCAATTACTTACGAGGAGGAATAAATATTATACACGAGAAAAAAATATTAAAGATATAAGACGAATATTAAGTATAGAATAGTTAAAGCATAAATTTATTATTTATCTTCAATAATCCTAATTTTCGCAACCATAGTAATGTATTTTTTTACGAATAAAAGAATTTTTTTTTAACGTTTTAATGCTGTAGAATGGTCTTCACAAGTAGAATTAAGATCGACTTCTGTGACACTTATCTGCTTCATCTTGCATGTTTTCATCGAGAAAAAATTTTTTTAGATCTTCATATTTGATTTTAAGACTTTTGCGTGTTTTCACTTTTAGTGAGTTCATTATAATTTTTTTTTTTCTTGTCATTTCTTTTTCTTGCTTATGATAATAGTGAAATTTTTATTACAGTATAATGTCTGCCCCAATTCCAGCTACTTATTCAGACATTGGCAAATCTGCTAGCGATCTATTTGGCAAGGACTTCCCGGTCGGCTCATTTAAGCTCGAGTCTAAAACTACTGCCCCCAATGGTGTGGTAAGACCACAACGAACCATTCATACTTTAAAATTTTCGTTTATGAATACTATAATCGAGTAAACAGTTAAATTCAAAATTCCAATTTCTCCTTTAGTCTTTCACCCTTACTGGCCTGAAAGACACGAAGAGCGGCAATATTAATGGAGAACTTAAATCTAAATATTATTATCCAAAGAGAGGTGGAACGTTTACTGGAAGTTGGACTACAAGTAACATATTAAATGGACAAGTTGAACTTGAAAATAGTCTTGCAAAAGGTCTTAAATTAGATTTAGTTGCTAACATTCAACCGGCAAGTGGAAATAGAAATGTTAGAGGAGGTTTCACTTTTAAACAACCAGGGCTTCATACAAAGGTTTATCTTGATGCTCTTAAAGGCCCTACTTTCCAAGGAGATATCGTAGTTGGCCATGAAGGATTTCTTATTGGTTCGGAGGGTTGTTATGACGTTTTGGAAGGAAAACTAACCCGTTATGGTGTTACGGCGGGTTATACTCATCCTGAATATAACGTTGCCCTTCGCGTAACTAATTCATTGTCTGCTTATACTCTTTTATATTATCATCGTGTGAGCTCTGAAATTGAAGCCGGTGCTAAGGCTCATTGGGATAGCCAAACGAATAATCCTTCAGTTAATTTGGAGTTTGGTGCCAAATATTTCTTGGATCGTGATGCTTTTATCAAAGTATTATTTCTTCTAATTTCTTTTTTTCTTTTTTTTTTCTTTTTTTTCTTAGTGAAGTAATATATATTGATTTGTTTATAGGGTAAAGTTGATAGTACTGGTAAAGTTGGTATTGGATACACACAAGCACTCCGTCCTGGCGTTAAGATCTCATTGGGAGGAAGCATTGACACGTCTCGTTTGAATGAAAATGCACATCGTTTCGGCATTTCTATTAATTTAGAATCTTAATATGTTGGTCTAAATTTGTATGTATTACATTCAATTGAAACATTAACATTTAATCTGTTTTGCTTATACAAATTCACTTTTATTTTGTAGCAAATTTTGACTTTCAAATTGCTAAAAAATATATAATATATAATTTTGCGTTATAATCACCGGTATACATATATTTGTTAAATAATTTTAAATTATTAAAGAATTTAAAGAATATATGCATAACCTATCTTTTACCTTATTGTTATATTGTATTTTTTGTGTTCCATAATCTCTTTCTTACCTTTTCAGACACGACAAATATAACTTTCTGATATGGTAAAATATCTAACCCAACGCTGGGGAGGTATTGACTTATTTTTTTCGTAAACTTTTAATTTTCGGATTTGAATATTAGAACAAGTGTAATTTGGAATATCAAATTCAAGACTATTAAATGGGTTCAATTATTAGTTTAATTTTGAAGAGAGATACACGTATTATTAATGTTATAGTAACTTTACCTAATAGGTCCTATTTCCAGCTCTGCTACAGCAGAAAATGAAGTAGCCCCTGTAATCTATAAAATAATGGTAATATTAGTTGTCGATATATTATAAGATTAAGAGTACTTCAAAGCTACCTTGACTTTTATTGATTGTTCTGTGCCACCTTTTAAATTATTAATAGTCCATATGATGTTTTTGATTCGATTATCATATTGGAATGATTGCTCATTCGAATCATCCGTATTTTCGTTCGAGACACTAACAAAAATATAAGGTTCAGATTAAAGTGAACATAACTTTATTAAACTTTATTAAACAGAAGCTTTAAATAAATACCTCTGTGTTACGCGAGGTAAAGGTACAGTTAGCGTACATTTACTCACGAACTTATCTTCCGGAATATCAGCTCGAATTTTAATAGTGATGTCCATTCTATTTGGACATCTTGGGTCACGCAGAAGAATTGGGAAAATTCGAAATGGTAAACTAACGTCACTAGATATCCGATAACTTGAAGTATTTAAATTTATTAACCATTGGATAATGAGGATAAAAATAAATGTAATAGATAAAATATGTTACTTCATAATTGTAGTCTCTCCTTCTGGTGGAAAAATGACCATTCGCCTATATTCATTAAAATCTTGATAATAATTGTTGCTACTTAATTAAGACTAAAATATATAATATCAAAAAATTAAAAATATAACAAAATCTACCTGTAGGATCCACCGAATCATGGAACTTATAATCATCAAACACGATCCCATACTTGTCACCTATGTTTTCGGTAAGAAATGTTTATTATTGTATATGAAATTATGTTTAGGAACTTTTTTCTCTTACTTGATATATCTTTGTCTCTTCCAAGTACAATATTGGAATTTAGTCCCAATCGAATTTCAGGATTTCCTTGCAAATAACTCTTAATTTGAATTGATCCATTAATTTCTGCTCGTACTGTCATTCCCTAATTTAAATTTGTTGAATATATCAGCAAATACTTATATTCATATTTAAAGTTCTAAAAGAATAACTTACATTAGATGCAAAAGAAGCAACAAGTTGTTCAATCATGTCAATGTAGACTTCATTTTGTTTAGAACTTCTTTCATCACGTGAATGCACAATTGGTCTATTTCTTGAAGACCCTAAGTTTGTCCCCGGGGCTTTTAACTGAAAATTCGATTCGAGTTATTATATTATTATATATTATAATTAGAGAAATATTAAATTCAACCTTGGCTAACGAATTAATGATTATATTTTCGCGTTTAACCGGTACTGGATCTTCATATACGTAAGATTTCAATTGATCGGTCAAGGTTGTCTGAACATATCCGTAATCCTAAAAAAAAAGAAACTTTTGTTATCAGGATAAATTAAGTTCAAGAAAGGTAGAATTGCACTTACAATTATTTCGTCGAGTAATTCGTAAACTAAACTAGAATTTAATCGTAAACATTCCTCGCTTAAAATTCCACAAAAGTCCTTTATCAAAGTTGCGATACGTCCAAGTAATTCATAGATCATAAAAGGCGAAACATTAAACTTTGTAGTGCAAACAAAATAAAGCCCTTGTATATTTGTAAAAAGAAAATTAACACCGTCAACATTAAATATTGGAGGCGGGTCTAGTTCGGCTCCATGGTTTTTTTGCCAGGTTTTTAATTTATCGAGAAGAAGGTCAGGTACATCTCGAGGAGTATCGTGTCGGTCTTTTTGTTTTTCAGACCAAAAAACGAAATATTGCGAATCAATTTAAAAAAATACGTCCATAGGTTATTGTAACGAAATTCATAGAAAAACTCACAATCGCGAAATATAAGTGTGTCGCCTCGCTGAGGAGATAAAATAAAAAATTGTGAAATCATTTCACTAAATTAACGTAATTAATAACTAATAATTTAAGGATAATAATTTAATTTTTTCAATTAAATTCTGATTGGCTCGATAATTTTCCGATATTGGATCTACATTTTTACGGGTTTGTGTAACCTTTCTAAGTTTTGACATTGCCACCAAAAAAATTGTATTTTTATTCTTATTTTTCGATAGATCAGTTCGACCTTAAAGATGGGAGTAAGTAGTAAAAGCTTAAAATTATTTTATACTTTTCGACAGATTTATCAAATCACTGAAATTTTTTAACTATTTTTTTATAAAAGATTAAATACGTGTTATTAGTAAGTCGACAAGGGAAAGTACGTCTTGCAAAGTGGTTTAATACTCTCTCACCAAAAGAAAAGCAAAAAATCATTAAAGAAGTTACACAAATGGTACTTTCAAGACGTACAAAAATGTGTAATTTTTTAGAATATAAAGGTTAGGTGCTTTAATTTTAATTTATTTATTAACTTTGTATCAAATTTGTTATTAAAATTTATTCGATTGGACAAATAACATGAATTCTGTTCGTAGATGAAAAAATTGTATATCGAAGGTATTATCGAATAATAATTCAGTACTAATTCCGCTTATAAATAGGTATTTTAGTATTTAATTTAATCCAATTTTCTTTTTCAATTAATTTAGATATGCAAGTTTATTTTTCGTTACGGGTATTTCGGCCACCGATAATGAACTTATAACACTTGAGATTATTCATCGTTATGTTGAAATCCTAGATCGATATTTTGGAAATGTATGCTTTCAGAAATAAATTATTTATATCTTTGACCTTTTTGATCTAATAAACTTCTTTAATTCTTATTATGTTAGGTTTGTGAACTTGATTTGATTTTTAATTTCCAAAAGGTAAATAATTTATTGTTTATTTCGTTTCGATTCTTGTTATTCTTGTTTTTTAAACAAAATTTTTATTAAATTGTTATGAAAAGGCATATTTTGTTTTGGATGAATTGATTATTGCAGGAGAAATGCAAGAATCCAGCAAAAAATCTGTATTAAAAGTTGTCAGTCAACAAGATCAGCTTGAAGAGGGAGAGAATAGTGAAAAGGGATGGCCAGAAAAGTAATTTAATAATTTCTCGTTAAAGAAACAAACTTAATGCATACTAGTTAATATTTATTATTATTAGATGATTGATTTATTTTAACTGGGCTACTAATAGCTTTAGATATATATATTTTTTAATTAATTTTTTTTTTGTAATTTATTTTCCTTCTATTAAAGAAAAATATTATCACATTATCACTTTTGCTATGTTTATCGTTATATGAAGGGAAGATTCTCACATACGTTTCACACGCATTTTACCAGTTTCGTCATAACAGAGATACCAAAAATGGATTAAGTATTAGAGGTACTATTGCCCTACAAATTGATTTTCTAACACGCGTTGATGCTTATCACAAGAGTCACGCGAACATTTACTAATAGTGATCTTTTTCCTTTAATCTATCCATAAGCCACAAAAACAAAAAGCCCCAAACAAAATAAAAAAAAAAAAAATGAAAATTTCCGTTTGTAATATATACGCAGCCTCATAAATTCTGTTCTCTCACCTCTTTGCGTTTTCAACTTTATTAATAATATTAATAAATGTCGGAATTTGAAAATTCCGACCTTAAATATGCTTTATTTTACGAGTGGTAAAATATTTCATTAGTTACTCTGACAAAAATTTTAATTCGATATATTGAATTTCTTTTACTCGAAATGAACAGATTTGTCGAAAGTTGTAATTTTATTTTCAGGGTTCCAAGTTACCTCATTTCATACTTTTGTATTAGCAACTTTATTCGTTATCTCATTATGTTGGTGTGAGAGACTTTTTACTTATTATTATGAGAATGCAGGATATGAAAAAGGTCAGAAAAGATTTAAAAGGGTTGTAATAAGGACATTTACTTATGCAGGGTTAACAATTTTGAGATTTTTTTATATGCTATTAATAATGTCGATGAATTCACAAATATTTATTGTGGTGGTAACTGGATTGACAACCGGACAATTGATCGTAGAATACGTATGTTCCATTTCGTAAGTAATCGAATGAATCTTTTTTTTTTTTTTAAAAAAAAAAAACTTACGTTATATTGTTTTGTTAGTGTTTATTCGACGCATCAACTTGTTCCAATTTCGCAAGATGATGATCTCCCAACTTTAGCCAACAAACTCGATGATGAACTTGAGCTCCAACCTCAAAGCTTAATAATCGAAAATGTAAACAGCGATGATGAATATGATTATCAAATACACAACGATATCGTAAAATACGAGCAGCAAAGTCTCGTTAATAAATGAAACATATTCGATATTCAACAGATCTCGTAAAAAAGTACTAAACAATATTTGTGTTTACTTAAATAAATTAGTTTACTGCCGAGTATATGATATTTAATGGCGCAGTTTTGTGTTTGAAAATTCTTATTAAGCGTAACAATAGTGTATCAATATTTGATGCACTAAACTGAATTTAGCATGTTGTCGTTCGAACAAATTAGGTGGCTTTCAGCCAACGCAAGCATATCTTTGTTCCAAAACCATTGTTTGAAATGCCAATCAAAAGTATTATGGAGAAACATTTAAATTGTAGTACATACTCAGATTGTACTCTACTCAATGAATAAGAACCTCATGATGATTGTCTCACAACTAAATAACGTAATTTTATTTGTGACAGTAAATTACTAAACTTGGCAAAAAGTTTTTCACAATTATCCAATTGTTGGGGTAATTTGATTTGTAAGCCAATATAATAAAATAATACTACAAATGATGGGAAAAAGCTTATGCAGAACAATTTTAAGCTAAGCCATTGCAAAGAGGGTTCATCCCTGTTTTTCAACAAATTTTTCAGGTATATAGAGACATCATTTTTCCCCTCCAAAAAAAAAAAAAAAAAAAAAATATATTCGAAAACTAGTTTCTTTGGTCGATAAAATTTTTTGCTCCATTACACCACCACTTCATAAAGTTCTTTACGTTTATAATGTCCGTCAAATTATTTGTTGGTGGTCTGTCTTGGGGTACTGATGACCGTACTCTTAGGTCCAAGTTTGAAGAATATGGCACCGTTGAAGACGCCGTGGTTATTCGTGATCGCGACACTGGTAAGATGAAAATCTTGTGATAATAGCTAGATAGTTTTTTCCAATTTTTTTGTTGTTTTTGAGCGAACAGAAGAGTACAGAGTTGAGCTCCTTGTCAATTTCGCGAGACTCCCAAAGCATTTTTTTTGTTTTGGAATAATCTCGATAGCGAATTAAAGGATGCTAACCTTTTTTGTCTTCCTTTCCCCCTCACCTCACGTGTCTTGTGTTGTTGCCTCACAAACAGGATGATACTTTGTTTGTGTTTTTGTGTGTGTGTGTAAAAATAATCAATATATTGTGTTCCACCAACCCTTTTATTATCCACCCCGTTATCTATAATTATGTTCGTTTTGTTCTGGTTACCTTTCGTAAATTCCTGCAATTTAAAAGGTCGTAGTCGTGGTTTCGGTTTTGTTACCTTCGCAAGGTAGATTTATTTTATTTTTCTGCACGTTGATTAAGCATGAAAATTCTGCGATTCTAAGGGTTTTTCTTTTTTTTTTTAGTAATGAGGAAGCTGAAATTGCTATCCAAAACTTGAATGACGCAGAATTTGATGGCCGTAATATCAAAGGTATACATAAATTCTTATTAATCAATCCCCACAATAATCTCTTCACAAGTATTTATAATTTTATAATCTTGGTTTTCGAAAATAGTTGACCGTGCTGCTGAACGCTCTTCACCTGCTCCACGCTCAGGCGGTGGTGGTTACGGAGGCGGTGGTGGTTACGGAGGCGGCGGCGGCTATGGAGGCGGCGGTCGTGGTGGTGGTCGTGGTCGTCGTGGTGGCGGCGGCGGCGGCTATGGTGGTGGTGGTTACAATAACCGTTACTAAAATAAATGAGATTTTATTGCAATCTCGCTCTTATAATGATTGCCATCTTTATTTTCTTTTTTACCTTTATTAATATTTTATCCCCCCTCTCATTGCTATTATTTTGTTATTCAAAAAAAAAGGTTCGAGTGTCCGTCTTAGAAATTTTCCTAGTTCTGAATTATATATTGTTTTGATCTTTTATTCCTAAAGAAATTTTAACGCGATCGAATTCATTTGTTTTATAATCTGTATTCACTCTGTGTGTTCTGCTCTTTTTTTTGTGTTTTATTCCATTATATATAATTTTTTTTTCTTTTTCCTTCTCTTTTATGTTCCTTTTGATAAGGACAAAAAAAAAAGTTAATGACAGATATTTGATTCGTTTTGCTACTACTTTTAGTCTAGGTTCGCACTTTTTGGTTTTTTTGTTAGAAAAAAGAACCGAAAACTTGTATATTTTTAGTGCTTTGTACTTTTGTGTTAGTTTCTTTACAACTTGTACATATTTTAGACGTGACGTTCATGATTTTAAAAAAAAAAAAAAATCTTTTGAATAAAATATATAAATATCTTTTTCATTTGAATTTTACATTTTATGAGAATTGAATAACACTACTATGTTGGTAATGTGTTTTTTGCCTATCACACGCTATATAATTTTCATAAATTTCTAATTTCTTTGTACTTTCCTTCGTTTATACAAAGATTTAATGCTTTTCTTGGATCATCCTGTTTAGGCTTTATGATTGCAATATAACCGTCTGTAAATGGCTATAATACGAATGAATTAAATATTGATCAATCAAAAAAGCAAAATTTAAAGTAACTTCTAATACCTTTTTCTGTAACATATCAACGTCAAGTTTTATATTAAAATCGATCACCCAACCAACAACACCTGCTTTAATACTATAATTTTTTCCTTCTTCCGTTGTGATAACACAAATTTCGCTTTTTGCCGAAAGTGGGATTTGTCTTTTTTTACTAATTGATTGAGATACTTTTTCATCAAATTTTATTGATTTCACTTTTTGGGATTGTAATAATAAAGGATGTGTCGGCGCTAAACCAATAACACACAGCCTATTTATTTATCAAGAAACGAATTAATGTGACGTGCATTTTTTTTTCTTTGTTTTTAAAAAAAAAGTTAATACTTATTGGGAGCTTGATAAATATAAAAATCTTCGGTAGTGTTTTCACCTAATAAATTTATTTGAGTATTTATTGTTAGTATGGTTGAAACTTTTATTCTTTAATCGAATATTATTTATTTATTTACTTGAATCAATAAGAAAGTTCTTTGTATAATATTGTTCCAAATACGCTAAAGAATTCTTCTCATATTTTTCGCTGATTTTTTTGTATAGACTTAAATCATATTTAGGGCTAATTAAAGATTCCGAATTCATTTTTTTTTTAAAAAAAAAAAACTTCGAGTTACGAGAATCCACAATATAAATGAATTGATGATGTATATGTATGTACTACGATCTGTGTAACCTCCATCAGCCATAGATATATACCACTTATATACCTCCAAAAGAAGGAACTGGTAGTTTAGAGATCAACAAGAGAAGCTATGGAAATCGATAAGAACTGTACCAATACTGCATCAGTTGAAACTTCTGATCAGTATATTAATGTAAATAATAAAACCGATCAGAAAGAGAACAATGCGGCAATTCGTTTACCCCGTAAAGAGTTTAGAAAGCTCATGAAAAAGCAACGCAAAAAAAACGCTCGAATTGAAGCAGCTAAGGCTAAACAACAAGGACAAGAGGAGGAAGAAGAAACTCCTGAAGAAGTTATGGAAACAATAAAAGCTGAAGAAAAAAAGAGGTTCGACATATTAAATACAATTAATATAATAATTTTTTTATTTTATTATAAAATTCTTAAAACAAAAAAAGAAATGCAGAGAGGATATTATGGGAAGTTCGAGAACGACAAATCAATCAAGCTAATGCAGAAAAAAAGAAAAAACAAGAGGAAAATGAGAGGATGAAAAAAATAATACAGGTAATTACTTTTTAAATACTAATTTTTATTATAATTCTAATGATATCTTTAATTATAGGAAAATTGGGAAAAAACGATTAAAAATATAAAAATACCGAAATCCATCAATGAAGTAACAATTAACAATAAAAATCTTACAAATCAACAAACTGAATTGGTATTTAATTGATTTAGCTTTTAAACCCCGTTTAAAATCGAGAAATATTGAATTTCCCTAAACGTATATATTTTTGAAGGGTACATCAGCTATATCTCCATCCGTAACTTCTGTCCAAGAAGATTCAAGCGAAAAAACTGATTATGGAACCGAGAAAGTATCGTATCCTATATTTAATATTAAATAACTGTCTTGATTATTTTCAGATTTTGTCTTATATGATTCATAATACAATTTCATAACAAATTATTCTTAATTTTGGGAAATATTTATTTACAATAACATTAGGACCAAGTTAATTGTCCATTCTATCTCAAAACTGGTGCTTGTCGATATGGCGATTCATGTGGTCGACATCACCAGTATCCTGAAAAAAGCGTTACTATTTTAGTTAAAAATATGTACGAAGGAATGCCAGTACAATTAGCAGATGAGGATAATGACGATAATTTGGAGGTATGTTACTCCAAACATCTTAATGCATGTCGCGATATTATCGTCGGAAAACTTTTTGGAATTAAACGTAGTAGTGATTTTTTTTATTAATACAAGGAAGATGAATTTGGTTATCAATTATTTGAAGGACTTTATCATTGTTCTTCACTGTATCTTTTCTTTTTACATGATATAATCTCTTCTAAGTCTAAATGAATCCTTGACAAATTAATTACGATTATTACATATTTGAAAACAACTCTATATTACATTTCGGACGATTCTTTTTTTTTTAGTATGACGAAGTTGAAGCTGAGAGACATTATTTCGAATTTTTCGAAGACGTTCATACGGAATTTCGACAATATGGGACTATTGTGCAATTCAAGGTAATGATTCGATAAGTCTCTTTCATATTGGCCGAATATTAATTTTATCATATAAAATTCAGGTTTGTAACAATTTTCAATTACATCTACGTGGAAATGTATATGTACAATATTCAAATGAAGATGAGGCAAAACGGGCGATCGAAAATATCAGAGGAAGATGGTATGCTGGAAAACAGTTATTATGTGAATATTGTCCAGTAACCAAATGGAAACCTGCGATATGCGGTAATTACATATATATTATTAATCATTCTAGTTTGTAATATTTAAATTAATATGTATTTTCGTATTATATTCATCAATATTTTGGGTTTTGAATATCAGGATACTATCAAAGAAACCAATGTCCAAAAGGAATTCAATGTAATTTTTTACATGTATATAAAAATCCCGGAGGATTATATTCAGATGCAGATAGAGACTTCGAAGATAAACGTTCAGGTTCTTAATTTTTGTGAATCTCAAATTATAAAATACGTTTTATATTAATTTTATGGTTTTTATTGACAGATTTTATTATGGCTATCGAGAATTCTTCTAATATTACTGTTTCTACAGCTGTAAATAAATCGTTTCCAGAGTCAACTGTTAATTCTACCGAGTCCTCAAAAAGATCTCGATCGTCCAGCTCAGATAGGAGCGATTCACATCACTCTATAGTGAAACGTAATAGTAAAAATTCTCGGCGGAAAAATCGATCGAAATCACGATCGAGATCTCATTCTCGTTCTCCACCTCTGCGATCCAACGACAAATATCGTTATCGTCATAATTACAAGCGTGACAATCGTTATCATAATGAACGTGATGAACACCACCACCACCATCACCACCACCATCGAAGTCGACATCATAAAAAGAGTGATCGTGATTTAGACGAATCGCGTTCTCACTGGAACCGTCATCGTGGTCATTGGGATAGAAAGCCTGATTATTATGACATGAATGTTGATAAAAAAAACAAGAAAGACAGAAATGAAAATGATCGAAAAATACAACGGCGTGATTCAAAACGAGATAATAGAAAAAATTCTAGAACTAATAAGAATGAGAATCAATCATCTGATGACTCTATTGTCTCTTCTACTTACAATATTAGAGAAAATGGTAAGATTTCTGATGAATAATATATATAGTAAATACTGTCAATGTACTGTATAATATGGAATCACCGAACTTATTCGTTTTGACAATAAAATGTTAAATGTAGTTCATTAAAAATTTGTTACTTGAAAGCGAGTTTAATTATTTTTGTATTAAAAAACAAAAGTATATATTCTTTATATTCTTAGTGTCTTTATTGATTAAATATAATATATACAGTATCTACAATATATAATTTCAAAACAACATTTAAAGAAAGCAATATGAAGAAAGCGTATGTTATTTAGCGAGCCACAATTTTTTTGAAGAAGTTGAGGTTACACAATTCAGATTTACACTTTATAAGCCAAAGCATTATTGTCAGGACCATTTTTTTCTTGGATATAAAGAGTATTATTGTATGCATATTGTATTCATCCCACATATGAGACTACAAAAACCTGAAGAAATATCAGTATCTGATGGATGCTTGTCCAGGTGACCTTGAAAGAATCCAGATCATCCACGAATTTCGAACAGATTTATAATTATAAAGAGTTTCAGAAAACAGATGTTTGGTACATGCACATATATTATACTTGAATTTATGAGCGCCATCTTAAAATTTGAATGGAGAGATACAATGAAGAAAAAAAGAAATATAATGTACCAATAGCTTTTATGATTTTAAAGTTATATATTATTAACCAACAAATCATTCTTTTCTTTTGCCACTATGTCGAAATTTACCAAATTCTTTCAAACGTGTTTTTCCGTCATAAGAAATTTTTAAAACATTTGATTTATCGAATTTACTCATTCGTCTCAAATACGGTAGCACAAACATAGTAAGATCTTCTTTACTATGATTTGTCATAATAAACTCTGTATTTTGTGTGCCAATTGCATCTTTCTCAAAAAGCCGTTGTTTACCGCGTTTTATTGACCAAAGTAGTTCGTTATTTTCTCGCATGCTTTGATTAAACTTGAATGAATTGCTGCCCTTATGAATAACAAAACCTTTTTTTGGAGAGTCTTGTATTCGAGAATCTATTAAACCATTCATCAGAATCAAACTACAGTTTCTTTTATTGTAATTTTTAGCATATAGTAAATCATAATTGCTAAATACTTCAGATGCACGTGCGAGTTCAGCATCGCTAGAATATAATTCAAGATAATTTGAAAAAGCCAGTTCACCAAACTTCTCGTAATCAATCTGCATATTGCGAATTATTCTTCTCGGCTTTGAATTTGTTTTTTTAACTTCAAAAACAAGATCCAGACATTCAAATTGGTCCACTTGATTTTCAAAATTTATATTTTCATTTATAATAGAACGCATTTCAGACATCGTTTCTTGAGGAAGCTTTACAGACGATCGAGTATTATTAAAAGGCTTTCGAGGAGCATGGAGTAACTTTCCAGCTTTGTTATATCTGTGAGGTGATACGAATGATGGTATCTTCTCTGTAACTTCCATAAGTGTATAAGCATTTTGTATAGAATTCAGTGCTTGACGAATATCATTTACACCACTTTCGATAACTTGGTCCATAATTTTCATTACACATTCTCTTTTGATAGCTTCATTTTTGGGAAACTTCAAATTCAAGAATGCTCTGATTCCCCTCTTTAAAAAAGTTGGCGCAACCGGACGAAATCTAATATGTGTCACTTTTTTATCTTCAAGAATATCACCATGCACAGTATTGTATACTGTATCAACTAATTTACGTTCTTCATGGTTCCAATCCTCAATATTAATGCTTGTTTCCGTAATTGTCCAAATAATCGGCATTCTTACATCATCTCTTCTCAAATAATTTTTTATTTCTTGAACAAACTTAGATTGTTGTTCTTTAAAATTTGGAGCATTGGACGTAAATGGTAAATCCTCCAACAATAGAACTTGCGCTCTGAAATTATTTTTCAGGGCTTCTGGTGTCGCAAACCAAACATTATCATTGATCCAGTCTTTAAATCTCGTTATTGCTGGTTCATAAAAATCGGGGTGAGAAGAACCTATAGGATATGGATCAAATCTATTTATACAAATATAAGGCAGCACATTTAATCCCCGAAGTCCATGCTGTTCAGTCTCTTGATTGATAGATTTAATAGCTAAATTAATAGTTGTTGTCTTTCCGCTACCCGGTGGTCCATTTAGGACAAGCAATTTTTTTTCTAATAAACATTTATCGTTATTTACTCTTTCGAAAATTTGTTTTACAGCGTTTTTAACTTCATAAAACTTTTGTGGATTTACAGCCAGCTCTTCAACACAATTCGGTTGAAATTCAAGGTACCAATTGCCGGAAGTCATTTTTACAGAGCTAAATAAAACTTTCTGTTTATAAATAGACGTGTCAAATTCACATGACTGACGCCACACCCTGTTATGAGAATCAAAGTTTTCTAAGCACTAATTAAAATTAGTTTTAAACAAAAGAATAAATACCTATTAATTAAGAGAAATACTATTCTATTTTTATTTTAATATATGTAAGGCTTGACCTGTCCTATCTAATATTATAAGAGGCCCGATTAAAAGAGAAAATACAAAGATAGGGAGAATACTATATATCACATTGGGGATGTGATGTACGGTATCATATAAAAATTTAATATATATTGCGGACGGATCAATTGGAATTTTTGCCGGATATTTAAAAATTGCAGAGTTTATAATAATTTTTTTTATCATGTAAAATTAATTATATTCGGATTTGAGCTATGTAACGGTTGATTCTTTCTTCTTCTCATTTAATTATCCGAAAACTTTTAAAATTAGATAATAAATAGTTATATACTTATATTAACATTTGAGCAATACAAATGATTTAAATTAATAAATTATAACTTTTAAGAAAGAAATTTTTTTTTCCCTTGTTTAGAAGGATTAATTTATTTTTTGAAAAAAAACTATCTATTTTATGAGAGACAGATATTTAGAGTACTTTCTCGAAATTTGAAATGAAATTGTCAGAGTTAGAGCTATAAAGTTTGGTTTTTACTAGGAAACTTCTTATAAAGCGAATTTAAACTATAGTAAATTATAGTTTATTATAGAAAAAATCTCTTAATAAATGATACATAATTTAGTTGATGGAACCCAATATCACGTGATAAAAAATTCATTTTTCTTTTTTAATTTCACTTAACTTACTAATTAAATTTTTAAAGATTCTTTTACCGGCTTGTAAATTTTTTAAACGTATCCTTTCATTATTTAAATGGGCTTGATCAGTAGATTGTCCCATAGGTAAATGTATTGCTACAGCATTAAAATTTCTTTCTAATAATTTTATAGCTGGTATCGAACCGCCTTCTCTTATATACAATGGTTTAACACCCCATTCCTATTTAATAAAATTTATAATTATAAACAAAAGAGAAATAATAATTAATAATAGTAATAAAAATAAAATAATAAAGAACTTACCTGTTTAATCACTTGTTCTGCTGCTTTAAAATATTGATTTTTAGGATCTCCTAACCACCAATCTGCCTTATTATTGATTTCAATCTAAAAGATGATAATAACATTATATTGTTTGTTTAGTTCCAATATTTTTATTCTTGTTTTTTAGGTAAAATAAATAAATAAAATAATAATACTTACGCGTAAATTATTTTTAGTTCTTAATTCACTAAAGATTTCTTTAACAAATTCTTTAAAACTTTTCACAATATCATCAATATCTTGATCTGGTACAATACGCATACTAACACTAGCTTCAGCTTTACGTGGTATAATTGTAACATTTTTTGGCCCACTAACATCAATTTTATGTATAGTAAATGACGGGTATCTCCATTTTGACATTAATTTTTCTTTTGTTTCGCTTGATTTACTTGAAAAAATCAAAAAGACTTATATAAAACGAACGTACATAATAAAAATGAATTCGTTTGAATAAAATTACCTAGGATTTAATTCTAAAATACGTTCATATAACTGTTCTTCATAAGATGTAATAGGTCTCACGTTATTATAAAATCCTAAAATTAAAATCAAATAAAATAAATATAAATACGTATGAAATAATTTATAATGACTTCCTTTAAATTTTTTTACCTGGAATTAAAACATAATTATCTTCTGATACGAGTTTCGCAAGAACTTGAATCATATCATTTAAAGGTTGCGATACTGCTCCTCCTTGCATACCAGAATGTAAATCTGATTCTTCGCTAGAAATCTATGTGCAATATATGTAAAAGAGATGCAAAGAACTACTTTTTCGGCATATTGAATTAATTTATAAAATTTACCTCAATTGTTGCAAGAATCACACCACGGAGCCCATAAGTTAAGCATGGAGTCACATCATCTAACCAATAAGAATTACTATAATAATGAAATAACAGAGAACTCAATCAACAATTAATTAATTAGCATACCTAAAAATTCATAATTAATTTAGAATAATTTTTACCTTAGTAAAATAACGTCTACTTCACCAATCAAATTCTAAAACAAATACACATATTAATTTTTTGTTGCGTGAAATTTAAAAATTACTTTGTTAAATATTTTTACTTATTTGTTACCTTGAATTTTTCCACAGTTTTATCAAATCCTATACTACCATTTTCTTCCTCCCCTTCAATCAAAAATGATACGTTGGCTTTGAGTTTCTTTTCTTGTTGTAATTCACTAACTGCACATATAGCCGCAATCATAGGTCCTTTATTATCAGTAACGCCTAATAATAATAATGGAACAAGTAAATAATGTCAATCATTTATATTATATAATATTTAAGTTTATAAATGAATATATATTGCCTCGGCCATATAAATATCCATCCTTTGCTATAAATAAAAATAACATTAGAATACAAATATCTTCAGATATTTAAAATACATTAACTATTTATTACCAGTCATTTCAAATGGATTTGTAAACCATTTTGTTTTATCAGCATCAATAACATCATAATGTCCATAAACCAAAATATTTAACTGTTTATGTTGTTGCTTAAAGTCACTAATTCCATTAAATTTACCAAAAACTAATGGATTTTGACCTGTTGCTATCGGAATCTATGAATACAAAGTAGAGTAAAATATTTATACAAACATCTACAGATTATATAAAAAATTTTTCATTTTTTTCATTAACTTACTAATTCTGATTCAGCTCCTAATTGTATAAATACATTCTTTAAAAATTTTGCACCTCTAAAACATTCTTCTAAATATTTTGGTTTTCCGCTAACTGTACGTAATAAAATCCACTTTTTAAGAGCATACAACATAATATCTAAATAGTATATAACATTCACGTATAAAAATTATGATAATAAAAATTTTCCTATAATTTAGTGTTTTATATTTTACCTGAGGTTTCTGGAATTATTGCTTCTTGGCAATTATCATCTGTTAAATTTATATCCCAAAACTTCATATCAAAAAAAAAAATATATATTAACCTTTTAACTAAATAGTAGTTAGTAATCTTATTAAAAATAAATATACTTTGATTAATTGATCATTAGCACCACTAATCAACAATGATTTATTTGGTGATAAAGTTAAAGACAATATAATTCCAGTATGATCCTTATAAGTATTTAATATTTCAAATGTCTTATTCCATCTCTAAATAAATATTCAAAATATATCAATTAATTTAAAAAAATTAACTATAATATTTTTTGAAAATATTATCTTACTTTGATAGTTCCATCAGCTGAACCAGAAAATAAACAGTTATCTCCTGCAGCTAAAGCTAACACATCATCCTAATTTGTTAAATGCGAGAATAAAAATTTTAAAAGGATCTCTTAATATAAAACAGATAAAAAAAAATCATAATGAACATACATCGTGAGCCATAAGAGATCTGATATGCTATCAAAAACAAAAATTAAGTAAAATTGACACTTGAATACAAAAAAACAACTCGGTTATATTTTTTTCAACTTACATGATAAGTTTCCAAATCATAAATCTTTTGTAAATAATAATAAAATTTTTTTTAATCCTTAAACTTTAATTAAACCAAATTGTAGCTAATAACACAAACCTTAATATCACCACCTTGTGCGCCACAAAATAATAACTCATCTTGTATAGCAAGAGTTAGGATACCAGCATCTGTTCCTTTAAGAACTTTTAAAAGCTCCATAGAATTCTTTGTGATTGACCACACCTAGAAAAAATAATGAAGATATTCTATAATTATTTCAATGCAATTAATGCAATTTAAATTTAAAATTTTTTACCTTAACGTCACCATCCCCTGATCCTAAATTTACAGGAAAAAAATATATATATATTTTCAATAAATATGTTGATAAAAAAAATATATTAACATTATCACTTACCACTTAAAAGAATCCTTCCATCTTTATTTTCTCCCAATAATAAAGAATATACATACCCATCATGACTATTCATATAAATCATACAATCGTGAACTTCATATCTACAAACATTTTCTTGTTCTGCACAAATTTTTGCATCAATTTCCTCTTCTTCGACCGAACTGATTATTTCACACGCATTAGTAGTTGGTGGGATATTATCAAAGAATTTAGAATAGTTGCATGAATACGGAAAGTTATGTGTTTGATGATTTTCTTTAGTCGATAAATCGAATCGCTTGATTAAGAAAAAAAAAAATTTTTTTTTTTTTACTATAGAAAATACTTGTACGATTTATTATTTTCAATTAACTTACTAGAATACTTGTGTTCTGACAACCAATATACACTGTATCTAATTCGTCACAATAAACTACCGAAAATAAATCTCCAACATCGCACACTTGAATAACATAGAGACATTTTAATGTATCTACATCCCACACCTATAACAAAAAATATGAGATATTTAACAATGTAGATAAAAGAAATATGTAAAAAAAATTGAATTGGGATGGAATAATTACATACTCGAACAGTACAGTCGCCTTCATATAAAAATATACATATATATTCGAGAGTATTAAAACGAATATCGATTCAAATCAACATCAATTAAATATAATACAATGTTCTTCTTACCAGATGAGCTAAATAACATTTTTTGATCATTTGAAAGAGTCAAACATAAAACACCTCCTAAATGTCCCTTTAATACAGCTTCTTGCTGAAAAGTGATCAAATTCCATATCTAAAATATTTACAAATTTTTAATCAAATTTCTAATGATAGTGAAATATCAAATAAATTATTCAATTAACATTTACCTGAATATGAGGACCTTGAGAACCGGTAAATATATATCTGTCAGAACAAGCTAAAGAAAGTACGGAATTTTCTCCGTGTGTTATTGTATGACTTGGTTTATTCTCTTGTTTTTGTGGAAAGCGATTTAGGCTGACTGTAAAAGAATAAAAATATGTTAAGTGGTGAACTATAAATACAAAAAAAAAGAAAGAAAGGTATATTACGTAGTGGTGTGGGACTAGCACTTCGTTGTATTGGAAAGTATTCACTTGGAACGGCGAGACCCTCCAGACTTTCCGGATTAGACGTCTGTGACATATTTATAATTCAAAAAATTAAGGTTTTGTACAATTGGAAAAATTCAGAATTGGACTTCCTTTATATATTCAGCGCTAGCGTCGATCATTTATCAAATTTGCCTTTAAATGGAATTTAATTTTTGATACTAAGAATCGGAAATTTTCATTCAACGTATTGCACCATTTAAAATTATTTTGCGAATATCTAAAAGAATATTAAAAATTTAATTTATTACATTCATACAAGTTAATTTTATTAAAATAAAAATTACATATTTTATTAGACTAAACGATGAAAATACAGTATAAAAGATGTATATGAATATACAAGATATTTGTCATAATATATTTGGTGAATTCTTTATTATTATTCTCATAAAATAAAGGTAGTCTTCTCGTTGAATGTATTTTTGCAGGCTTTTCAAATCGAATTTTCCAAGAAATAAATGTTGATAAAATAAATGTCAAGGTAATTAATATTAATAATGCTATATATACGTATTACATTGCTAATAATGGAATGTGTGAATGTTGGCGCAGTTTGAGAATTCGTTTTAAAGATATCAAAAAGATTTAGTTAAATTTTAGTATACTAAAATCGATAACCTAAAATATTATTAAACGAAAAACCTACATGCTGAGAATTATAACGCCGACAATGATCTGAAATCTTTTTTTTTTTTAAAAAAAAAAGAGAGAGTAAGAAAATAATGAAAAAAATTTATATGGAAACCATTTCAACTAATAAGAAAGTACCATGTAGTGATTTTCAAAGATTTTCGAATTGTGCTTACTTAGAACCAAATATTATGAACAAAAATAATAATTGAATCCATTTCAGATTAACGTGTATATTTATTTGACGTCAAAAAATTTTAAAGTAAATTCAAAATTAAATTTAAGTAAATTCATGAAAATGGTTTATACGAATATAATATAAAAAAAAAAAAAAAAAAAGGAAGATTAAAGGGTATGAAGAAGAGAACATATACAAGGCTACAAGCACTTATTTATATAAATTAGTCATCCTTTAAATACGATTGTTTTACAAATTTATATTTTAATTAAAATATTCTCGAATGAACTAAATCATTAAAATTTAATCACGTGTAATCACAAGTAAGTTTCACTACTTTCTTCGGCGAGATTTTATCGGATAATTATATATATATATATATATATATATTTTAAACTAAGTTTTATATAGCGAATATTACGAAGAATTTTTGCTTAGGGACGTCCATTACGTGTTATACAGACTAATTGGCGTCTTAGATGCTTGTCAAATTAACAACATAAAGCCACAAAAAAGTTCGTCGATCTTGAGAGGCGAAGTATTTCATAGGAATTTTTTTTTTAATTTTTATAAGCCACGAAAAGCATTTAGAGTAAGGCTATCTTTTTCGTGGCAATCGTGAATAAGCCAACAAAATTTAAATTTGGTAAATAAGCCGCACAAGCCTTTTATGCATAAATGGCTTAGATCGATGAACGTACGCGTTGGCTTCTCGTTTAAATGGCCACGAAAAGAACAATTTGAGCGATTCTTCGCGATATTAAGCATAGATAATCTATTCCAAGAAAAAAAAAATGTGCTAATCTGGTATTCGTTTGAATTGACACGAAAATAATATTTTTTCAAAAATGATAAATGTTGAAAATAAGGCTTTTTTTATGAAAATATGGCAATGAAAGTTTTATTGCAACGTGTTATTAATTTTTATGGGGATTCAAATAATCTTAATTTAATAAAATTTGAGGTAAAGAGTATCTATATAAACGTGCCGTTTCTTGCCTTGATTCCTCACTTCACTTGGGGTAATTCAAAAAAAGACCAAAATGAAACTCTCTAATATTCTCTTGCTTAGTGCTTTCTTTGTCGCTTTTCTCTTCTTCGATTCCGCTACTGGCAAGTTTAAGTTTTCTTGAAGTGATTATTGTCTCAACCACTATTACTAACAAGTATTATTTTTTTAGCTTGTGCTCGTACTACCACGACAGTTACGAAAATAACCACTATTCCAACAACAATCACTAAAGCTGTAATAACTTTAATTAAACTTTATTCATTTTAAAAATTAATTTAATTATTTTATTTCTATTTTGAAGACTTGCTTGACGATCGGTACAACTACCACTCTTAGCATTACTTCCCCAACAATCATTACCAAATGCACTCCTACACCAACATGTACATGTAATCCGCATATTATAGGAGATTGCTGCCGACACCCCGTAACCATCAAAAGTCTTAGCCTTAGTCTTAAAACGATTAAAATTAAAACGCTTGTACCTGTAACAACGATCTGTGTAAAACCACCAATTTATTAAATATATAATATATACCGATTTTCAAGATGTAAATAATTTCCCTTGGACCTTAAATTTTGTAAATAATATTATAATATTTGTAGTTTTATATTGTGTATATATCTTTATCCTATAAAACTTTTTTTTCCTTTTGATATATATATATATTAGATTTCTTTTATTATTCTTTTTTTTAAATACGAATTGATTTAAAATTCAAAGATTTCAATTGTTTTTTAATAAATTTAGCATTTGATTTTTTTGTAAAATTGTAATAAAAAACAGTAATACATAATATAGAGCGGTTAAAATGCAATTATTAGCGATAAAATCGATAAAATTATACAAAAAATCATAAAAAAAAATTTTCTGCTATATATTTAAAAAATATCCCGCATTTTCTGTATTTTCTATCCAAAAATCAGAATTTACCGTTTTCTTCTTCATCCCTTTTTCTTTTCTTCTGAGCAAATATTATTTTTATATTATTTAATCCTACTTCATTTTTTTTTAAATAATTCGTAATCTCTAATTGAGTTTGTTCAAGTTCAAGCCATTTACAAATATCTAAAGTAATTTTCCAATTTTCAATATCATTTTGTTGCCAAGTTGTTGGTAAATATTTTAATAAACCGTCCATCATCTTTGTTAATCCTGTTACTTTGAATTTCTTTGCTAAATATGCAATTGTGAATAATTGCTCATTTGTTCTTACATAAACTGGCCAACCGTAGCTATAATGAAAATTATTATTTTTTTATTTTTTATCATAATATAAATTTTTTTTTATTTATAATATAATTATAAATTTACTTACAAGTATGATAGAAATTTACCAAATATTTCATAATCATAATAAAATTCAATTTTATCTTTTTCTTCTTTATACTCTTCTTCTTTATCAATAATATCATACCAATTTTTTATCACTATACGATTATTAATCAAGCAAGAACAATCTATGTAATAATTTCCTTTTTTCATTTTATCACTCTTATCGAAATATTCCAAAAAATATCCTGATTGATATTTTAATATAACACTGTGTGCAAAATAAATCTTTCCATCTATACGCAATACTACATCATATGTATAATGATCATTGAAAAGCTGTTTTAAATTGGTTATTATTTCCATATTTTTTGAAAAATTCAATTGCTAAAAAAAAAAGGTTTCGTAATACTACTTACTTTTAAATTATACATTATGCAATTACGTCATCTTAGAACCGTGGTACAAAAAAATTATCTTCATGCGCAACTTGTATAATGAATATCTCTGTCTCATTTTATGAAAACATTGAAAAATGATTTCTTTCGTAATATATTCATTGTTTATATTCTTGATGTTTCTTATAACAAATACTATAATACTATATTATATAATGATTAATAATAATGAAGTTCAATTGAATGAAAGGAAAATATTGCTAATTATATCTCATCCTGATGACGAATGTATGTTTTTTGGTCCTACTTTACTTTTTTTACGAAATCGAAAAAATCAAGTTCATTTATTATGTTTATCGATAGGTACTTAATAAATTATTATAAATTGAAAATTATCTTTATCGATATATTTTTATTAATTATTATTTTTTTCTTTTTTTTTTTTTATATAGGAAATGAATCGGGGCTGGGGGAGATACGAAGGAATGAACTTGAAAGTAGTTGTATAACACTTGGAATTGATATTGAAAATATTAATATTATAGATCATCCGTAAGTTTCAAAGTTGAAACCAAAATTTATCTTTATCAATCAAATATAATTTACTTTAATTTGTTTAAGATCATTACAAGATGGTCCAAAGAATAATTGGGATCCTACTTTAATATCCAATATAATAAATGATTATGTTACAAAACATAAAATTGACATTGTAAGTATATACCATAATTACTTGTAGTAAACCATATCTTCCTAAATATCAAATTTTGAATAATTTATAGATTATAACTTTTGATGAAAAAGGAGTTTCTTCTCATCCAAATCATATAGCTGCGTTAAATGGTGCAAGGTAAATATATTATTTTAATTACGTTATCACGAGTGTATCTAATCTCCTTTTTATTTTATTTCTTAGACATTTTATTCAATCCGTTACCACTTCAAATGATATTATATTATATAAATTATTAACAGTTCCCGTATTAAGAAAATATATATCAATACTTGACCTGCCTTTAACATATCTATTTAAAAATCGAAACAATTTAAATCATTTAATTTTTATATCCTCTTTTACCAATTTTATACGAGCAAGAAAAGCTATGACATCACATCAATCTCAATTAGTTTGGTTTCGTCATTTATATATTTTGTTTTCCAGGTATATGATGATAAATGAATTACAATTAGTTAACATTAATTAAATTATTAAATAAATAAATATATATGTATAACAAATACAATTTTTCTTTTTACCTCTCATCAATATAACAATGAGATTTATTCCACAAAAAACGCTTGATTTAAATACTTTTTTTATCACTATAATTGTTACATTCTGTGTTCTGACATTAATCCATGGTATAATTTTAATCATCTTTAATTTACTTAAAATGATTTTCTCTTTGGTTCATCCATTATCAAGGTAATTCAAATTTTAAATTAGTATTACGCCATAACAAATCTAATAAAAATATTTTTATTTTAGCGAAAATAAATATAATGTTTAAATAATTATATTATATTTATTATTTCATATTCGCTTCTTTATGGTTGACTATCTCAATGATAAAAATTGTAATATAAAATTCTTCCCTTATATGAAAAAAAGATAAAAAGATGTTAATTATATAATTAGAATAAATTTAAATGCTAAAAACTATTTTCAAATATGATTGATTAAGTGATTATAATATTTAATATTTTACAAAATAAAGGAAGAATCCAAAATGATTATTAAAGCGAAAAAATTAAGTTCTATATTACAAAAAAAAGAAAAAAAAAAAAAAGAATAGCAATTGATCGTAATATACATCCATATTTCCCAAATATGCTATTAAAAAAGTAACTATCGATGTAAAAATAGTTATTATTATTATTAAATTTCCAGTTACAATTGAAAATCACTATCCTCTTCATCAGTCACATTATCTATAATTGATTTTCGTTTCTTTTTAGATTTTTTAGATACAGTGTCATTATTAGGTGTATTTCTTTTTTTATTTCCTGATGTTCTTGGTGATGATGCGTTTTTTGATTTTGGACCTAATTTACGTACAATTCCTTTTCTTGAAGATGTACCTCCTGATGGTTTTACTGTTGTATGTGTTGTCTCATCAAATATAGTCATAGTCGTTATATCGAGATCCATGCGATCCAAACTAGCATAACTATTTGATTGTTTGCTACTTAAATCTCCCTCCATCTCTGTATCGGCAAATTCTTCTTTCTGCGTACCATCCTCAGCGATAAGCTTTCTGAACTGAAAAGAAAACTCTTAAATTATTATCGGAAATTTTTTTTTTTTTAAAAAAAATTCTATTTATATAAATAAGCATACCAATTCGCATTGTTGTTTTATATCATCGTCCGTTAGCAAAGGTTTATCTATAAACGAAAGACCATCCCATGTAATTACTGGTGGAGCATTTTGATGACGTAGAGCTGGCTTATCTTTATTGGATCCACTTTGGGCTGGATTGAAGTTCTGACATTTGCTAAATAAAAAATAAAATTAGTAAAATGTTTATAATAATAAATTTCTCGAGATTTAACTTACGCTTCGCTAAGTGCATATGTCTTTTTCAGATGTTCCTTCAAGTACATAAGAATAGTCATACAAATGGAAACCTTTGCAGCATAAGGCAATGGCAAAATAGTTTCTGCAAAAAAAAAACAAAAAAAAAAACATATAATGAAATATAACTGTTCGTTTAATTGTTTTAAATAACCAGAATATACCTTTGTCTTTATTCCTCGATTCTTGTTCTTGACTATCTTCTTGTGTTTCCTTTTTCTCTATATTCTCTAAAAGTTCAGGCTTTTGAACACCTTCAATTAACATTGAATTTAATTTAATGTCATTGTCTGTAGTTTCGCTCACATTCATAAAACTTCCGTTAAGCATAGTAACGCTAGGCTGATGCGGAGAATTGTTTTCATCAAATGTTTGAATATTGACAGAGGCCTGCTCTTGTGAAGTTTTATTCTGATTAATTATATCCATGTCAATATTGAGTATTTTTGCATTATTTTGAATAGAATGCAGAGCACTTATAGCAACAACTGACAAAACACGATTGATACAATAAATAACATGAAGGACTTCTTCCAAAGACTTATAATCAATAGTAGCTAGATTTTCCGCAACAAATTTACAAAAACCGACATCAACCTGAACGGAAAAGGATAATTAATAGAAAATATATGAATATTAAATTAAAGCAAAAATGTTCATACCGTTGATTCATCACATCGTATTAAATCAAAATCGAATGTTCTGACAATTGATATTAAGAAATCATTACGACGTTGCCGTTTTTCTTTCAGTAATGAATACATAGGATTAAGCAAAGCTTCAGGATGTCCCTCGTCATTTCGAACAGCATACCCTAATCGTAAAAAAATGGATCAAGTTAAAAAAATCATATAACACTCAATCATCATAAATTTTAGTTATTTCCTAAATAACATACCAACAATAGGATTTTCACAAACCAATTGCTTTTGAAAAGCGTACGCCTTTTTAACACAATCTACATTTCGAGAATGTATCAGTGAAGCATGTTTTTCATTTAAGTGTTGATGCAATTTAAATGCCTTGTCACGAACAGTCTGTTCTGGACTAGTCTCTATCGCAACAATTGTCGGGATACACTAGAAAAATAAATATAAATAAATGTTATTGAGAATGTAAAATGAACAATAATAAATACAAACTCACATACCAATACAGGATGTGCTAAGCCCTGCTGAATAATGTTTCCTAAGACATCTAAAGCAATTATTTTCAAACTTTGTGTTGGATCAAAAGTACATTCGAGAATCCGATCAAGATATCGTTGCATTAAAGAACTGCTTACACTATTAAATTTCAAAGAAGGAACTATTACTCCCAAACCAAATTGCTTTAAAACAAATAAAAAAAAAATTTATTATTCTTACCCAGCCTCGGCAAACTCATCTGCATTTCCAATTAAAACCTTTAGATCGACAGGGTTATTTTTTTTTTGCTCTATGAATAATTGATAAATATTTATTTAAAATAAGTAAATAAATTTATAAATTATAATAATAATAATACGCTTACTCTTCTCTTCTAAATCTGTATTAATTTTTTGTTGTTCTGCTACCAAGAAATCAGAAAACACCTTCATTAGCTGTATTTTCATATCCATAGCTCCAGTATTCAATATACGATCCATTAGATCCGTACTTTCCGGTCTAAGCATTATGATTGGATAGGATAAATATATGAACCCTATAGAATATAAATAAAATCAGTAAGAAGAGAAAGTAAATATACTTTAATTATTATTTACCTAAACTTTGTAATGCCATTTTCTGAACAGTTTCTGATAAGCTTTCTTTGCAAAAATATAAAACTAATTGGAAAACAATAGTTATTATAGGTCCCTAAATTTGTAATAAGCGGTATTTCAATATATATCGATAGCACAAAATTATAAAAGCGTGTTTAAATAATCTATTCGTACCTTATCAATTAGATTTAATTCTTTCATTTCATCTGATAAAAAAAACAAAGTTAATCAAATAAATATATATGTATATATATATATATTAGTGAATTTATAAAAATTTTTGTAGTGTTCTAACCTGGTTTTTCCGATCTCTTTTTGTCAAAATCGAAATTCTTACATAATAGACCGATAATTAAAAGAAGAACCATAACATTTCGCGCCGAAGATATATCTTTACCAGCATCTAAATGTTTCTTCTCAACTTTAAGTTTTTCTTCAAGGGTACAAGGTATATAAATGGAAAATAAGAAAAACAGAATTTTTCATGCGATTACATGAATAAATTAATAAAATATTACCTATACAAGATCTCAACAGTTTTGTTAAACGAATATAGTTATGCGTTAATTTGTCAACAATAACACAAAGACACGGTACAACTTCTTGAAGAATCTAAGGTAATAATACAAATGGTAATAAGATTTCAATATTTATTCTTCATATAATTCTAAACAATACCCGATATATATTAAATCATCTTCTTATCATACCTTTTGTGGACTTTTGGTAAGTAGACCAAGAAGAGCTTGCTCTACTTCAGTTAAAAAGCTTGGATTTGGTCGTTTTAAAAGTGGAAGAACACTTTGATAGATGATCAAAACATAATATAAGATAGTTTGGTCATCGGACTATATGATCAAAAATTAAATTAAAAGAGAATTCTATTATTATATGACATCATTATCATTACTTACCGAGCTAGCACTTTTTAAGTATGGTTGTAGAGTGACAACATGTCTTCGAACAAGTGAAGGAGAGGCATTGCTTAAGAGACATATGGTACTTATACAACTTACGACTTCAGTCTAAAAAAAGTCCATATATATTAATAACATTTAAGTAATGATCATAGAAGGAAAAAATCATGATTTTATAAAATACCTTTGAATTGGAGTCTTGCAATGTCAATAAATGCTCGAACAAACAATCCACCATACACTGGCATATATTTAAAACTTCCCGTTTCTGTTTTCCATCCTTTTCTAAAATCTTTTTTTTATAAAAGATATAAATAATCTCAAATAAACCCTTTTTACATGATTAAATAATTAAAAACTAACCTTTTTGAATAATCCTCCTAATACATGGCCGTTTCTTTCGCCAAGGCGTCCTGCAACTCCAACAATTAACAAGCTTCTACTTAAAACTTCTTTCTTACCAACAGAAGACATGTTGGTAAATTCACTTTGTCCATCATCGTCATCAAGATCATCCATGTCAATGCTCACAGTTCTTTGATGTTTGAATGGTACAAACCATAATTCTTGAATTGTTTTTAAAGCTAAGTCCTTTAGAATGAATTAATTAATAGTTACTAATGATATCTAATTTTCACAATTCTTAAATGATATTTACCTTAACATGATTATCGTCGTCATTTATACGCATAAGAATTTTACAACCAATATCTATCATCATTTTCTGGTCCGCACTTTTAAGATATATGTCACGAAGTAATTTTATAACACGTTTTCGGACATTGAGACCGGTATCCTGTACATACATGCATATAATAAACATATATTCCAAAATAAAACTTGTATGAAAATTACAAAATATTAATTTATATTTACCAAAATTCGCTCACTGATAACTTTATAATACTGTTCAGTAATATCGGGTTTTTGTGAGAGATATCGACCAACAAGATCAATAGCTGCATCACGAACAGCCGGTGAATTATCGGAAAGTCTTTGTGCAATTGTTTGTCGAACATTAACCTTTGCATTTACATTCAATATTAATTAGAATATCGAGGTTGCCTTAATCGAAATAGGAATAGAAACTTACTTGACTCAAAATGTTCGGATCATTAATAACTACTTGGCCCAAGGCTCTCAAGGCTTTGGTTCGAAAAGCAACAACACCTGTATCAAGCGAAACCAAAATTCTCGAGAGGATAGAATCAAAATTCTGATATAGAGTTTGCCTTGTTGCAAGAAGTTCGGTAACAAGACTAATGTCAGAACGTTCTATACCTAATGATCTATTTGGAAGTTAAAAGAAAAAAAAAATTAAGCTATTAAACCTAAGGTACTATAGAAAGTACATTGAAACTACCTTTGTTTCAAATTTTGGTCAATGTTATCTTCTAAAGACATTTGCCAATATTCGGCAATTATTTTATCTAGCAATTTTTTCATTTCGCCAATCGTGGCTTTTTCTTCCCGGTCTTCACTCGATAAATTTTCAGAAATCGAAAGTAGCGTGTTAACAAAAGAATATCCCCACTCCGCCAAATAAAATTGCCGAGCACACTAAAGTATATCAAATATACAATCAATAAGGTTTATTGTATAATTATAATTCTTATTATATACGTACCTGTACTCCAGGATCTTCTAATGCGCCAAATTCTAGAAATTTTAATACAACTTTTTGACATTCCCAAAGATTGTTCACTGACTGCGCATTCGTTAGACTAGTAATCTAAAATAAAATGAATCGAGCTATGTAAATGTGACCATGAAAACAAAAAAAAATTAAATCGTATTATTCGCACCTCTCCCTTTGGGACATCTTTGGCCATATCTATCCAATGGCGAACTTCTTTATTTTCCCAATTATCTTCTAATGTACTCTCACCAGTTACTAGGACGTTATTGGCATATTTCTTTATTCGTCCAGCAATTGTACCTAAATAATCAATAGCCATGGACTTTGTGTATGTGTCTGCCTTCTTATCGTTAATATAGCCAACCTAAGTTTTAGCGAGTAAATATTATTAATTGACATAATAATGAAACAGTGATTGCTTCTATAAACATTACCATAATTTTACTGAAAATGTGAACTATCATTTCTGCGGCAGGCCATTCCGGAAAATTTAAAACTGTGATTACATCTTCCATGAAGTTATCCAGCAATACACGATATTCTGACTCGTTCGAGTTTTTAATAGACTTTGTGCATCTTAACAATTTAAGAAATTATTGGATGACGTGCGGAATTGTAAAAAAATATTAATAAAATAAAAGATGAAAAATACCTTGCCAGCAAGAATTTAAAAACATAACCAGCATTCGCACTAGCAGCATCAATACCCGTTTTCCAAGCACTTCCACACTAATTTAATTAAATATTTATTAGTAATAAAAAAAAAGGAAACAGGAAAAAAAAAAAACAATGTGGTTCTGGGGGATAAACCTTTTTTAAATTATTGATATCTCCAATGATATCAATTCCAAAAATTTCATCTCTGCCTTGGCCGTCAATTTCCTTGGAGCCATATTGATTTGTACCCGCTGTACAACTTTGAATGAGTTGCAAAATAAGTGCCGAAACCATCTGTATTGATTTACCATCAGGTAACCTATAATTAACGATTTTATTAGCTATGGTAATCAGCATGGGGACATTTTACCCATTCGTATTAATTACCTATATTGTCGTAAATTACGCTTTGTCGTGGGTAACTTAATTAAAGAAGTGAGAATTTCCTCTAAAATCCAAGTACGTTGTTTTTGATGATTTGTGAAAACCTGTTACATTAATTATTAATTATCATTAAAGCTTTGCCCAATACAAAATTCATGATATTAAATAAAATCATGTCGTACCAATCGCAACAATCCAAGTGCGACCAATTTCATAGATTCAACATTATTTCCAAAAAAATTATTGCTGCCACCGCTAGCAGAATCAACAAAAAATGGTCCAATAGCAATAAAACTAACAGTTATGACAATGCTATCTGATAACTCTTCTTGTTGCATTAAGTCATACAATTTTCTCAGATAAGTAGTCATAATTGGAAGCAATCCCGATATCTTACGCTTGAGGCGCGAAGTAAGAAAAAAATTAACTGTTAAGGAATAAAAATAAACTTATAATAACTCGAATAAAAATAAATTTTATAAAGGATATTTATCAAAAATCTCGAGCAATAAGGAATCAGCTTCATCTGTCACACAATGGAAATTACAATAAATTAACTAACCATCAAAAAAATCCCATCCCAAAAAATTTTTTAAAAAAACATACTATTCAATTCCTCTTTAGACGTATTTAATTCCAAAAAACGGTATATAATTTCTCCAAGTTGATTTTTTACAAGATTCAAACTTGAAGTAATTAGGTCTTCAGGGTAAAGCTATAATCGATAATTGTTAATTAATTATATTATTATATTAATAGTCAACAAAATACGGCAAAATAGAAAATGTTCAATACCTGTTTACTTAATTTACCACCCGTCATTATTGTAAATGCAGCTATTGCAGCATCAATCCCATTCATTATTTTTTCAAGCTTTTCTTCAATTTGTTCCGTCCTTGAGTCTTCATCCATTTTATAATCATCATCATAAGTATCACCTTTATCTACACTGTAATCAGAGTTTTTTTGATTTACTTTAATTCGGCTTTTAGATGTTGACTTAGGTAATACTTCAAAATTTTCGACCTCTCGCACAGAACGATCTAATATTTTCAAAAGACGTGCTAAGTCCTCTACTTCAACATCCTCCATACGTTTGTAACGGCTCACTTTGCTAACAAGTTTTATGAGTTGTTGGATTGCATTTGTGGTAAGCAGAGGTTCGCTTGAGCCCATACTTGATGGAACAAATAATGATGTTGAATTTTGTGAATTTGCATTAGATTGATCTACGCTGGCGGAATCCTCAGCTTCAAATATCATACTCATATAATTGATTAAGTTGATCAATACACCTATAAAATAGTCCAAGATAAATAAGATTTGCAATAAAATTGAAATTATACAAAAATAAAAATGTTAGCTTACTTTCTCCATTTCGTTCTTCATCCTTATCTTTATCCTTATGTTTTTTGTATTCTTGATTTGGTTTTTTGTGAGATTGATGCGGACTAAGACTCCAATCAAATTCTGATTTTTGGGGCGAACGATATTCTTCCAATTTATCTCTCGGTGGAATTTCTATAACTACTTTAGGGGATGTTGCTCGAATACTTTGTCGTTTTGTAGTTAAGAGATTATCAGAATCTTCGTATTGTTCATTATAGAAATTATTTACGGGAGATGTTTCTGGGTTAATGACGACTTGGGGAGTTAAATGTTCCATTTCTATTTCTTGTGATGAAGTAGATGACACTTTAGAATCTTGATATTTTGACTGAATGTAAGATTTTGAAAGGGATGTACTTTCTATAACAACATGTGGAGAATTAGAACGTATATCATATGATCGTGGAATCATATTTGCTTCTGAAAAAACGTTAAGATGATAATCTCTATTTGAATGTGCCGGAGTTTCGATGAAAACTAATGAAGATGGTGTTCGAATATCTTGATTATCTGATGAATTATACATAGAATTTCCATAAATACTATCATTACTATACGTGTTCTGTCGCTCTCTCTGATGAACATGGTTGATATTTCGAGGAATATTCGGTGTAGGTAAAATACATTCTTCATAAACACTTTGATTATAACCAATTTGCTGAGGCACAGCACTATTCATGATAACTTCAGATTTATTAGCATTATTAGCATGAAAGCTTTGAGATGATCGAGAACCCATGCCAGATACTTGATAAATGTCGCGATTATAATCTTGGTGTTGTGAGATTATATTACTACTGGTAGTATTCTGAGGGATCATTTCCATAGCCTGCGTGAATGGACGTTTCTGTGGGATTGAAGGCTGAGGATTGATTGCATACTCGAAAGAAGGTCGTGGAAATGTTATCGATGAGCTCTTAAATCGGCTAATTCAATATAAAACCAATAAATTCATTAAATCATATTCATATTTTCGATATTTGATATTATAACTTTTTTCAAAAACTTATTTTGAGACATAAATATTAATACAATATAAATTAAGAAAACAGACTAAGACAATAGATCTATATATAATTAAATTAAACTTGTACACTAAATATTTATTATGAAACAAGATCGAAACAATGGAATACTTACACATAGCTCACATCAACTTGATTTAGCAATCCACGAACAGCATGTAACTGTTGTTGTAGAGAGAAGTCAGAAATCTGGGACGCTGATTGATTATCCAAAAGGTTGGCAATACGTGCATATTCTGGATCTGTCGGATTACAAGTGATATAATCTCCGAATGCAATAGATATTGGAGGTATATCGCTCATAACTTTTCGACAGGATAAAAGAATTATTAATTATAGTTTTCAAATAACCTAAACAGCCCCCAGAGTCATCGAGGTACCTTAAACTACAAACAAATAAACTAATAAACTAAATAATAAAAAAAAAAGAACCTGCTGACGCTGGAGTAAGTGAAGCTAATGCTGAATATTGTAATGACGATCGGGCGTCGTCTGGAGTTGGCATATAACCTGCTCCAGCCCCTCCCTCGCCACTACGCTGTTTTCCATTTGTACTGCGAGGACCATTCATTATTTTTGTTTGTGATTTACTATACAATTTTCGCGATTAATAGTTGCTAGATAGATTTCACTGTTTGCAAACGTTTCCTATTGATGGAACACTTGATTTAGAAATGAATGACATCAGAGTTGAAACACAGTTTCCTTCTCATTTATATCAAATAATGTCGGCCTTCTTTGTTTACTTTATATCATGACATTCGAAGCGAAAAAGGACTATTGACTGTGTGTTATGTCAATGTTTTTTATCATGTGATCTGATTGATTTATTATTACTATAAAAGTCATTTATTGCTTTTATAAAATAAGTATGACGTCATATTATAGTACATTAATAAGTTTTTCTCTGTTCTATTTCTTTCAGATTTTTGAATTTCCCAATAGCCAAAACTTTCATCATATCCTAACCAACTGACAATTTATAATAATTTTACAAATTTCCATACGCTCAAAAAATTACAAACAACAATATTCTCAATGATACAATTATATTATTTCTTAAAAGGATTGTTAAAATTATAATACCAAATTTCTTCTGTAAACTAAGTAGTTACAGCACAATATAAAACTACTTAAATCTACAGGGAAATTGTTTTCATTCTCATTATTTTGAAAATTAGAAATTTCTACTGTTGATTAAGTTCAACTACAATATTCTGAGTTGTAGTTGTCAGCATTTTTAATGATGTTTTCGGTTTATCAAATCTTTTTCGAATATAAGTAAACTATCACTACAATAGCAGTTCATATTGAAAAATAAATTCCGTTAAAAGTGTTACAACCTTGAATGCTACAAAATCAAAATATATTAAAATTATGCTTTAATTAAAAAAAAAATCAATACACTAAAAAAATTCTTTATCTGACAAAAGCTAATACCTAATGCTATTTCAGAATGCAAAAATATGAACTGGAAAAAATTCCATTTTGTTTTTTGGCGGAAGAACAATACCAACCAGTAATGGAAAAATTATTGATATAGTTATATAATATTTTTGTCGTTACCATTTACTTTTAAACTATACTTCTATGAATCTTAAAAGAAAATATTAATACCATGAAGCCTGCTGCAATCCCAGACGCATTGATTCATAATGCTTAGATCCAACAAATTGCCTGTAATGTTTGACATAAATTGGCACCATAAATCCATGCACTGAGAATATGAAGTATACAAAGAATACAAAAATAGACAAATACGTGATTATAATCGATATATAATGAAAATAATTATCATAAGAAGAAGGAAATTGTGCTAAGTGTTGCATATGTTAAGCCACCACTAATAAGTTAAATTCGTTATCTATTGGAACGTATTATTATTAGTTGTTCTGCTTTCATTTAACTTTGTTAATACTTCAGGAAATTTAATTCAATAATATTGTTTTTTTTAAAAAAATGATGTATTTGAATTATATAGCTGCTTCAATTATTCCACATGATTTTGATAAAAGGACTAAATCAGAATTTCAAAACTAATGAAGCATCATCCTTTATAATGATATCTTTTATGTATTAATTGCAAAAACTATTGCAAATAAAATTTTGAATAAATGAAAACTTGCTTGAAAAATTCTCTTTTTTCTTTTAAAAAAAATTACTTGATCATAATTGGGGTCTTTGCAATAGAAAGGTACAAAACTCAAAAAAAAATTTTAATTTTACTTTATATGTTAATTATGTTTTTTTACTGAAATAAATGCAAATTTAATATCAATTCAATTTTTGATATTTTTTGAGTTTTGTACCTTTCTATTGCAAAGACCCCATATATCAATCAAAAAAATATATATTACATTTTCTGATAAATATGATAAATATATAAAATAACAACTATTAAATACATCTCATTGAAAGGATTTCTTTTGATTATTACATTATAAAATAACTACTATAATATTATTAACCAGGTTAACTTAAAACTTAAAATTTTTGGCTAATTCTTTTTCAAAGTTAAATTTCTTACTAAATATAAGTTTGGTAACTTATACTGAATTTTGATATAAGTTAAAATTAGAAAATTAATCAGTATTACAATTTATCAAAATCTATTATATACTAATAATTTAATATATCAATATCAGTTTTTTAACTGTATATAACTTAAAATTAGTATTTTTAATAAGTTGTAAATGATAAAAGTAAATTGCTAAAGCTCATTGGCAATAATGGTCACTATACCAGCATTATGATATATTTTCAACCAGAATTAAAAATCTAATAAAATACTGGCCAGTATTATATTATAATTTTACCATCAGTAATTATTACCACCAGTGATGTTTAGCAATACAATATATATATATATTATAAAATATAAAATTTACAAATAAATATTTTAATAATGCCTGTTTAAATTATTTTTGCAATAACTAAATATTTTGTTAAATTTTATATTTAATTAATATTTGGCTAAATCTAAATTAATGGCTAAATTGGAACTCAAAGAATATATAGATCCAGATCCAAAATTTTAATATAATTTTATACATCTAATTCTATTAAAAAATTTATACAAAATCATCATACAAATTCAAAATTTTATTATAAATTTTACAATTATAAATTTGAGTTTATATAAAAAAAATCTTTTTAAAGAAAAATTCCTAACAAATATTATTAAAATTTTAGATACTTTATAAATATTGATATCCAATATATATAATATAGTAGGTCTTATACAAAAATTTGTATGTATACTATAAAATTAAAGAAAACACATTTTGCTACATATCTTACTATACAGTGATCATAAAAAAATAAAACACAGCTTATTGGATTCATTTTAATAAAATGAATCAAATGGTAATAGTTTCATATTTCTAGGTATAATAGATGTTAAATTATATCACACATTAGCACTTTGTATTTTTATTCACTATGTATTTTTATATTTATTCCATAACTTGCCATCTATCTATTATACCTAAAAATATAAAATTACCACCATTCAACTTGTCTTATTAAGATGAATCTATAAGCTTTGTTTCATCTCTTTATGTGAATGTCAAGATTATACATGCCACCCAAATTATTTTGGACTGCCGTAATTATAAGTAAAATCCCAAATTCAATTATGACATCCCAAATTATTTGGCACTTTACATAGTAAATTATATATAAACCGAATGAATTATGGCATCCCAAATTATAATTATGACATCCCAAAATAATTTGGGCAGCATGTATAGTCAAGATATATAATAAATTAAAAAATATTTCAAGTGTTTTTTAAAACAAATTAAGAAACTCTTTACACAGGTCGAACAGATGTCATTGTCGCAAAATTTGCCTGGAATTTTTCTGGCAAATTGAGAATTATCCCGGTAAATTGGGGTAAATTGTGTTACAATTTTGGGATAATGGAGGACTTACAATTTGGCAAATTTTGTCAAAATGGC